TAATCTGTCTCATGAAATTGTCTCATTATTAATAAAGATTGTGGTGGCGAAATTGTTAATGAATTCTTTAAGTTTATATGCCTTTACACTGCCTTTATCCGTTTTTAAACAAACTGGCCGTGCACTGAAAGAAAACTTTTCGTTATGGCATTTCAATTTATAAAAATCTAATTTGGAACATAAAACCCCTAAAAACAAGATACTGCACATTAAATTGACACACCTAGGTACACTCATCCATTTAATAACATAAATTAATTAAGTATAAAAATATATGTCATTAGCCAATTGTGGATTTTTTCTTAAGTGTCTTGGTTGGGTATTGCTCTTCGCTTCTGTCCTCATCTGTTCCGACGACAAATTATGACGAACTGTGTGCAATCATTTCCATACATCCTAATATATATGCATGTACACAGAAGTGCTATCCCCATAATGGCCATCTGCGTTGCCGCCAGATTTGTTTATGTGCTTTTTACCCCAGGGTTGCGCCTTATTCGTCGTTAACGTCTTGGGGCATTTAGAGCGATCACATAAATATGAGGTCCGTGTCTTCCAACGCTTCTGAGCATCGAATTGTTCCAACTTATTAATTTTACTTTGGGAACACTTCCACATTATTGGTTATAGAAAGAATCCGCGTATTATTTGGCTTAATTAGTTTTTAAGAATCTAAGATTATGTTCAGAGTACCCTAATGGTAACGTACAATTTCGATACAATCATTTGCAGCTGTATCACAACGTTATGTCCACAGGCGACGCCGTCTGGGACGCCTCCGCTTTTTTCGTTTTGAACTTTTGTGCCAGAAACCAAAGACACTTGAGCGACAGATGCCACCATCACCATCCAAACGTTGCCAAAAAGAATCGGCCGCCGGGTACAAAGTCCAATTAGTGACATTCTGACAAGATGTTGCATAGAGCCTCGCGCCGAGATCGCCACTCTTGTATGTATTTATTTTATTCGTACGTTCCCGAACAACTTAATGAATCGGTCCGTAGAGCAACGCCAAAATGCTATTCTAATTGTCTACATATCTTTCATGGCTGGCGCCAACTTTCTTCATGTGCAGCGTGGTACTAGCTTGTTAGATCTGTAAGACTTGGCGTCCTAGGCGGCAAGGTACCTGGTGTTGATATTTCGTACAATCGTTTTCTCTAAAAGGGGTCTTTACTGAACAGTAAAATAAGAAACGGATCGTTAAATGCATATTTAGGGCTGATTATATTTTTCTGAAATCAAATTGGCTTTCTAACTTGAACGAATAGTTAGTATTGTATGTATATGGTATTGTATGTATATTGAATATACTATATTCACCTTTCAGGCCCCACATTATTATTTGAACAGATATTTAAGCCCAAAACCTTTTCGCGCCTTGCTCTCGCCCATGGGAGTTCGATGGTCTTTATTACACGAACCCGATCAAGATATGAAGCTCCATTGGATTAGTGGAACTATTTTCAGCGCATTTAAGGCCAAGTTAAATTTAAATTCGTATTGCCGAGTAAACTCTGCAAAAATGTGTTAATTTAATTATAAGTAACTATTTATATTCAAAGCTTTGTACTATTTTTAGTATACATATACGAATAAAACCATATTAATTAACTGTCTAGCACCTTTCGAGGTGTAGAGTTTTTGATTATTTTGCGCAGATCCAGACAGTGTGAAGTAAGTTAAAAATCCTTTACTTGTCCTAACGAGACTGGTATTGAATTCGTTGCTGTAAAAGTTTGCATTGGCTCGACTTTTATCTTTTTGACCTGCTCATATATTCCCCCAACGTCAGATTCCTCAGTATATTTAAACCACCTATCTGCCATTCAGTTTGTGATGTCTGCTGTGGGTCAAGCTGACCAAATAATTGTGATGGGTGACTTTAACCTCCCACATATTTCCTGGATTCCCTGTGATGACTCTAATCTTTTGCTACCTAACAATTGTCATGATTTTATCGATGGGTTAACTGACTTGCCCTTAGCTCAAATCAACTCAGTTAAAAATAATCGCAATAGACTTTTGGACCTCATGTTTGTAGGTGATGCCGCTCTTGCAACAGTTTCTAGAGTCAATGCAATTTCCCTTCCTGAAGATCCTTATCACCCCACTCTATCTATATCTGTTGAGCTTTTAAACCAATCTTACAAATCGACTGCACTAGCCCCCTGTCCGATCAAATGTTTTCGGAAAACAGATTACACTGGCCTTAATATGTACCTTTCGAGGATTGACTGGTCATTTCTATTAGAAATCCAAGATATGGACTCCGCCGTCCTACAATTTTACAACTCCATTTATCCGGCCTTGGATGCTTTTGTCCCAACACTGGATATATCCCCTTCTTCCAAGCCCCCGTGGTTTTCCAAACATCTCTCGTACCTAAAAAACAAAAAATCTAGGCTTTATAAAAAATATCAAAAATCCGGCTCTCTACTCGACTTTGCCCGTTACTCCACCATCCGCTCCCAATTCCTTACTGAAAACAGTCAATCCTATAATCTATACCTATCACAGTGTAAAGATAACTTTCGCACTAATCCAAAACAATTTTTCTCCTTCGTTAACTCCAAGCGAAAATCTAATGCTTTTCCCCCGTCACTTCGCTATCTCAATAAAACAGAAAACTCTGCTCCCGAGATTTCCAACTTATTTGCATCTTTTTTCCAGTCTACTTATTCTTCTAGACCCTACAACACCTCAACACCGTATCCCTATTACATTCCGCATGCTAATAACATATTTTTACCCCCTTTCACAGAGAGTGTCGTTCTGGAAGGAATGTCCTCTATTGACATTTCATACTCAGCTGGCCCTGATAAGGTGCCAAGCTGCATTTTAAAACACTGTGCCCAAAATCTGTTATATCCAATTACACTTCTTTTTAACTTATCAGTCTCTTTAACCTGCCTACCTAGGATCTGGAATGAGTCTTACATAATTCCTCTTCATAAAAAAGGTTCTCGAGTGGACATCGAAAATTACCGTGGCATTGCCAAACTATCAGCTATTCCTAAACTTCTGGAACATCTTATCACTCTTCAATTACAACATCTCTGCAGTTCCTTAATATCTCCTTCTCAGCATGGGTTTATTAGGCATCGATCAACGACGACCAATCTCCTTGAGTTCTCTCACTTGATTAATCAAGGTTTCCTGCACCGTCTACAAACCGACGTTATATTCACTGATTTTAGCAAGGCTTTCGACTCGGTAAACCATTCACTGCTTCTGCTTAAACTTTCTTATTTGGGATTCCCAAATAACCTTCTAAAATGGATAGAGTCGTACTTAACAAATCGCACCCAACGAGTTCTCTTTATGAATGAGCTATCTCACACTGTGGATGTCACTTCTGGTGTCCCTCAAGGTAGCCACCTTGGACCGTTACTTTTTATTCTTTTTATAAACGACCTACCTCAAGTTATTTCATACTCGTCTATTTTTATGTACGCCGATGACGTCAAAATTTGTTTCTCCTATTCCGATTGGTACCTTCATTCTCACCTTCAATTTGACCTTAACGAATTTCATAAGTGGTGTGTCAGTAATCTCCTTTTCCTAAACCATGCAAAGTGCAAGCTTATGACTTTCCACCGTTCCTCCCCACATCTTGTCTCCTACAGCCTTGGCAATCACAACCTAGACCGCATTACCACCTCAAACGACCTTGGAGTCCTTTTTGACCATAAACTATGCTTCAATAGCCATATTACTGCAACGGCAAACAAAGCCAAGGGTGTGTTAGCCTTCATAAAGCGATGGTCCAAAGAATTTGACGACCCGTACACTACCAAAACACTGTATGTAGCTTTAGTACGTCCTATTCTGGAATACTGTTCCTGTGTGTGGAGCCCGCAATATAAGGAGCCCCAGAACATTATCGAATCGGTACAAAAGCAGTTTCTGATCTTTGCACTGCGTAATCTTGGATGGGATTCTGGCAGACTACTTCCATCTTATCGAGCCAGACTTAAATTAATCGACTTGCCGTCTTTACAACACCGTAGAGTTTGCAATGCCATAATGTTTGTCCATAAGCTTCTTTTGGGTCTCGTTGATTCTGAATCACTCCTTTCCTATATACAATTAAACGTCCCATCTAGATTTACTCGATCATTCCGTCCTTTGCGCTTACCTTTGTGTAGGTCTAATTATGCCCAACATGAACCTTTTCGCGCACTATGTAACAACTACAATAACCTATACAACATTTTATCTTTTGAATTACCTATCAGCACTCTTCCGTCTAATATTTTAAGTCACCTCGAATCGTTAGAATTGTAATAAGTTAGTGTATCCCTAGTAAAGCATATGTTAGCAGATAATTGTTAACCAACTAAATAAATAAATAAATATTCAACACCTAAAATTGTGAATAAGCAACACAATTTTTTGAAAATTGAAGCATTAACTCTTATGTAATTAATTTGGATTGCCCGTAAAAGGGACACGATTCTTAACGAACTCAATGAAATTAATAACTAAACTTCTCTTTGAATAGCTTGTCAAAAATTATTTGCGATGCATCAGCTGCGTCCGCGTCAATAATTTGTCCATTTAATTTTTGTAGAAATTTACATCCAATCGTCAGGGTCATTTTACCTGCTGCTTTTACTCCGCTCCACTGAATGAACTTTCCAAAAGCACCTGAGAGGCCCAACCGCACGTTGGAGTTATTAATTTAGGCAGGACAACGACGATCAACAGGCGATGCCCGCCAGCACATCATCAGCGACAGTGGCAGTTGGCCTGCACCTTGCCATGACAAGGTGTCCTCAAAAGAACTCGGCCGGCTGTATGCAGACCACTGAAAATACCGACCGTGCTGGACGGGCAAGCATACATATCGATGTGGATACGAGAATAAAAGGTGTAGACATTCGTGTTGGGTTCATGCGGGAAATATCAAATAAAAAGCTGGCAATCGGGTTCTCGAAATTTGAAACAATTTAGGCTAGATTAATATGCGAATTGCGGTTTTTAATTCTCGGATGGACGATATTTAATGAATTGCTGACTTCAACAATCAATCAGGGATATAGCTTAGCTTTTGTCTCGGTTGCATTTCTGATTACGGATTCGGTCGCATAAACGCAGCAACAGATGCCTTCGGCACGCAAATGAAGAATTCAAACCAGTTGCTGCGCCGGCGACAAGTAGAAGTGGCGAATGCGCCAACATTGGCAAATGAGTGGCCAATAGCCCGTGACCATCGCAGTAGGCAGTATGCTGTATGGCGTGGCATGTGTCAGCATGGGCGTCCTGGTGGGGAGCTTTCAGTGCGGGTGTGCCTTCTCCTCGAGAAATGTTTCCGGCTACGCTCATGCGTGTCAACGTCAAGGCGCGACAACTGCAAGCATCTGGTCGGTCAGAAACCAGACACGACCGATGGCTCTGTGGATGGACCTGTGCCGAACCGTGCCGTTGGTCGCTATACTTATTTGCATTGCGTTTATGACACTGCAATCGCATAGCCGAGGCCACGGCAACCAGCTGTGCATCTGGCGCCAGCCAAAAATTAACCAAATCGTCTTCTGTCTGGCTCTTTGTGTGTTGACTGCAAAAATGAAAATTTTCGATATAACAAAAGGCAAGTGAACAAAGCAGTTTTATGACAAGGATATTCGACAGTGCCCACTTACACACGGGCAATAGCAGTAAGTGCATTCGAGGGCCGACGCAAAGACAGGTACCGCAAAAACCCTAAGATGTCAAAATGTTGTCTGGCCTGTGCTATTACGCTACTCACTTTCGCAAGAGCCAACATTTCTAAAAAAAAAAGTAGAATTGCTGATCCCTAATTACCAGTAACCCATTCAGTTGTCTTAGGGGGAGCCTGCGACTCTCCACCGTATCCGCGGACCTAGGCGGAACTCAGCGTGAGTGACACAGGCCCCTAATCCAAGGGTGGTGCAGAGTGCTATCAACGAACTCAAAGCGCACACATAAGTGGGTATAAATAGACACATTTGAGATGCACGACATACCAACATGGCCACATGCTAAGGCATTCTATTAAGTAACTCATTCCCGTACCTTGAATTGGGGCTGCGGCCCACCGGCAACTTGTGCTCAGGGCGATCTCGACTTTCTTATTAACAATTTTCTGCGGCTGCCGTATTGCTTCTGTGTAATTTCACATGCACAGAAGTGTTCGTATTTTTGTGACTTGGGGGCGAACGGTGGCAATCGATGCAGATACGGTCAATGAGAAGGCCAACGCTTTGCTTACATTTTTGCTGATGTGCTTGCGGGTGTTTCCCGTACCAAGAAGCGTGGGAATCGCTACGGTGGGGATGTCTGGAGCCATTAAATGTTCTTGCTCTCCCTTCCTTGCGTGCAAAAACCTTCACAAATTGCGATGTGGGGGTTGTCTGCGATGTGTCTGGCCAGCTATCCTGGTTCTTAACTTTTTGACATTAATAACGTACTTTTTAGTATCTAATTGAGTATCATGGGTATGATTTCTGGCACGCATGTTATTGATTGCCGATGCTCCTGTATAGTTTCGCTTGCGGCTGTCACGTTTTCAACCAAGAAAAATGTATGCTTTTGGTCCCTATCGTGAATATGCACTGTACATACATAGATCCAAATTAACATTTTATAGTTTTAATTTTTGATTGGGGTCTTTGTTTCGCGCTTTGCCTTTAAACCACTACGCATATATTTGCAGTCACAGGTTGACATGCTGTCGGACTTGACCTTAAAACAGATGTCCTCACTTCTGTTTGTATGTACATAAAATTTCCCAAATAAATTCCCACGCAATCGTTTGCGTAGTCAGGAGAATGCAAAGACATGTTGTCGCCATTCTGGGCACAACTGGGTGCAAATTTCACACATTCGAGTTTAAGGATGCGTATGTTTTTCCTATCCTTCTGGTCAGCATATGTGCCATTAGCCTCCGACGGCGCCGTTTCCATGAAAAATTGCAAATCTGGCTGACGCCGCCAAAGGTCACAAGGCACAGAAGACAACAGCATGAGCGTAGCAAAATAAATTTCCAAAGGAAAGTCATAAGGGCCTTTTCGTTAAATAAAATATTCTGTCTTACGAACAAAAAAATTAAGCCCCCCTCCGCCGCTGACTGAGAACACATGTGTATTATCCGTCGAGGGCCCAGGGAGGTTCCCATGTGTTCCGTATTTGGATCAGATCTTCGTTCCTGCAAATACATTTTTTAAGTTGGGTGCTGTTAGTGCAATCCTTTCACCACCCGCACTTCACAAATTCTACAGATGGGTCGGCTCTGTTATTTGATGGAGGATCTGGATAAGGATAAGCATTTCGGAAATGTGGTAAACAGATTTACGATAATTGATCCTAGTGACTTCCTGCTGCGATGTACGACGCGTTCGTTTTATTTTTTTACATGCATGTAGGAAGTACCACTTTTAAATGGTATCGAGTATGTTGGTGCGAGTGGGTTATGCAAATCCCATAACCACGTGCCAAGGCCGGTGGTTGGTTGCATTGCATCCCTTAATACTCAACGTAACAAGAGTAAACGTGACGTCACATGCAGATACATGTGAATATTACGGCAACGTTATGTTCGTACGGTAACAATTTGTATTGAGATGATTGTCTGATTTGGTGAAGCACCTGTGACATCTGAACGCATGTTTAAGGAAAGAAAATAAATCCATCACCAGCTGAGACTGAGTTTTTTAAAATATTACTTATCAGTTGCTTTTGATTGCTTTTTGAATAATACATCCTACCCATAAGTCTGTAATACATAAATAGGGTCGTGTTTAATAAAAGTGCGGATAAGAAATAGAGAAATCAGGTTATCCGAAATAGTATGTTTCCAAGACGTGGAATATCGAAAAATTAAAAACGCAGGTTCAGCAGAAATGAGGCATTTAGTGTGAGAATTCCTTGAATTTATCACTACCTGACTTCGGTGGGTATTTCCAGAAATTTATCAATCGCCCATGCGTCTGGTCAAACTATTGGCAAGGTCCAGAAATTAGTCTAAGCAGACTGAAAGCAATTAGCGATCGAGACGTCCCCTACCCTACGCTGTAGCGCCATGCCCAAACTACCAGGTAGAAATACCTGCAAGCCGACATACATACATACGTATAAATACAATTATTATTACCATTACTATTACTTGTAAATGTGTGCTTGTAAGTCAATACCTTCTTTCATCTTTAATGCATTTTTTTTTTTAAATTGGCAGGAATACCTACTAATGTTCAAGCCAAAGCTATTTCGTTACCTCAGTGTCTCGAGCTTCGTACAGAAGCCAAATGAGTAACAGCAACTTTAGCTAATTTTTATAAAAAATCTCGGCAAATAATTCCGAAGTAATTCTAGCTGGGGTTTAAGGAAAGAATGGTTTATTTTTAAAGGGACAGATCAAATTTCGCCGACACGTACACGAACCATTTTTGGAAGTCCAGCTTCTTATCCTTGAACTTCCAGCTTGACAAAGGCTTGATCGCGACCTAAGCGACGGTAGCGGAGCCTGTTCAGGTTGCTACACCGGGGATGTGAAGCCTGAGCCTGTCCAATCGAAGAAAACAGGTTAGCCTGCAGCCCAATCGCATTCTTATAAAGCAGAACAAGTCTCTAAAAAAACGAAAGTCATCATTCAAAAAGTATTTCGCGCGACAGACACAAACTCGTGCCCAGCGTACATCTGCTGAGAGTATCAGACAGCCAGACGGAAAGATCCCTAACGATATTAGTGGTACTGCCTCTTGTATTTCAGCGGCAAGGTTTTTGTTGTGCGGCGAACGAAAGAATGATCTGCAAAATATAAACTTTTTCCTAGAATTGACCTTTTTATATACGAAACGCATAGAGGTATCCATACAGGCAATACATGCACGTACAAATATTAGCAAAAAAGGATAAACTAAAAGTCTGGATATGTTTGGATTGAATGAACCAAGTTACTGATCCAAACAAATAACATAACAATGAAATAAATTAATCTTTAGCCAAATAAGAAAATTAGGTAATTTATACATTTTTCTAAAAGATATTTGTATGCATTTTTCTAAGATATGTCTAAATATTTATGATCCTTAGCTGATGCCCAATACGTCATAGTAATCATAAGCCATGTCAAAAGCAGATGATAGGACGTTTGCTGAAATCAAAATGACGCATACGCCACCAACTGTGCAAAAACGATGCTATAAAGGAAAAACGAAACTCTTTTTATAAAATCCTTACTCAACAGCCTTAGATGCTAGTCATAATAAAATTGACTGCCGCTAGGACCATTCAACCTTATTCAATTCGATCAAATTTGAGACTTTTTGTATTTAAACGAGATATCCGAATCCAACATATTTGCAATACAAGTTTATCCAAAGTCAAACATGTTGGAACGTATTGACCGGACATCGTTGATACGATCCTTAATAATTTGGTGTTTGCAATTAACAGCAATACCATCAGCAATACTATCCGCAATACCATATCAGGTTAACATGTAAAATGTGGAAATGCTAAATCGCAAGCGAAGATTTTCATTCATAAAACTAATGATGCGATATTCAAACATGCTCGACAGCGAACGCATTCAAACATCTGTTGGTCGTAGCAGAACAGTGTTGACATGTCTTGGTTCCAAAATGTATCTGGGCCTAGGTTCAATAAAGTCAAATGTAGCTTTGTTAAATAAAATATATATACATTTAAAACATTTTTTGTTTAATGATAATTTAAAGCATTCTTTTCATTTGTTGTTGGGTCAGTTTTTTTTATGTATATAATATATTTGCCCATTATTCAACATTTGGAAAATTGAAAATTTGGGTTTTGAACAACTTTTTTCTCTAATGTAAACTTGTATAGCTAAATAAAAGCACAACTCCATAAAATACATGGTTGAATTTAGCCAAAAAACCATAAAAAATCTACAAGCTTCCGGATGTCGACCTATAAAATAGCTGAACTAGCAACACTGGTGACCAAACGCAGTTCGACCGCGTGCTGCTTTTAGCATGAAGCCGGGCGTTGGCATAGGCACTTTCAATACGCCAGATACTTTCAATCCGTCAGATACTTTCGTTGTGAACGGTCGTGCTCCGGTCGGAAAAATTTACAAAGAATCGTAAAAATTTTAAAAATCAACAAGAAAATTCTTACAAATAAACCACTGTGCCGAAGTTTATATACGTTTAAATCGTATTTTAAACTAAAATAAAAGTGCTTATCAAAAGAATCCCCATAATTAATAGGAGAGATATCATTAAGTTTCCGTCGCCATCGAACCAGTCTTTGCAAATACAATTTCTCAAACTTACTGCAAAGCATAGGTTAAAACCAACTTTGGATTACGCGATCCCTTCTCGAAGGTCTTGGATTCCCGCCAGTGCGACTATGGCGAATACCCATCCAGAAAAACTTTACATGCAACTAAGCGCATCGGAATTAGCAGCAATTATTATGAAAGGTGAGTTAAATGAACGCGCAAAAGACAATGCCACCTGTTGCCTGCAAAATATGCAGCGCCTGCATTTAAATATTGGCAAATATTTGCGGTCGTTTTAATGTTATTAAGCCCCCAAAATAAATTTTACTAGCTAAAGCGTGATAAGCACTATTATAATTGAAACTTTAAAAAGGATGGGTTTTAGAACCAAGAAAGGCTTCTTTTTTTTTACCGGGGCCATGTAGCAAAACAGATTCGCTGAAGGTAACTAGTGACAAATAATTTTAATAGAGGAAGATGCCGTCCTGAGGATTTAAAGCCCGCACCGACTCAGACGATGCAGCATAATCATAAAAGTAGCTGTCTTTTGAGGGTGGCAATTTAGATACAGACAGATACGTAAACAACGCCAACTATTTGTCGCCACCGTACTTCAGCTTTGGGTTTGTGGCGCATATGTCAGCCAGGCACTTTGCGCGCTATAGCGAATTTGGGACGACGATGTCGCCAGACATATTGGCAATTTGTCTGTTTGTGAAGCTGGAGTGCCAGTTGGCCTCGGCAATGTGTATCCTTTTTCACCACCGCCTGCTTACTGTAAAAGCGTTCGAAGGGAGAACTTAGCCCCAACCCACATTTATCTGTTGGCACTGCTGCCTTCATTATTTTATTCAGCAGGGTCTGTTATATTTTATACTGCTCGTGTCCATGTTATTTAATGTATTGTCAATCCCTTTCGCTATAATTATGTTGGCCATTTAGTGAAAACAATTACATTTACCGTACCAACTATTTTGGGAGCTTAACAAGACTATATCTCTTATGCAGGTAAACTTAGAGGAATATGTTCAATGGGTAGCCGATCGAAATGGGGTAGAAGTACTATATTTTATTGACCACGTACAAGGATCCTTGACCAAGTGTGCTAAAGTACTGCATCATCTGGTTCTGTTGTTGCGATTCATTCATAAAAGTGATGCGTCATTTTACTACAATATACACCATATAGTCGCTTTAACATACTTACATTTATGTACGTACGAGTATATGCACATGTTTTGATAAGAAGAGGCTTCCCACACAGGGAACGTTTCCCAGTGGACCGACCGCCAGCCAAAAGCCGCCTATGATGATAACCTTTTAGTGACTTTTGGCGTGAATACGGGATTTTCTGATGCCTCTGACAGTTAATGTCTGCCGTTTTTAAGTAGGTTTTAGCTGATTTTCACAGGAGGGCATTCATTCTTGGAATAAAAGGCTAATTACGGGAAAACCGTTGCTAATTTCAAAGCAGAACTTTCAGGATTGGATTCAAGGCCTTAAGACGGATCATATGCATTAAAGTAAAATGACTTTGGAGCCTCGTAAAAGGTCGAAAAAGAACATATAAGATTTATACGTGAAACCTATCCAGAATGTACACCCATTTGCCGGGGGAAAAATGTGAGCATTAATTTGGGGTTCTATCATTTCTTCATGAAAGGTCTGGCTCGAGAAATTAAAATAAAATAGTATTGGAACTATATAAATGGAAATTTCTAAAACGGTAACAATGTATCCGTCTTGCACAGGTGTTTTGGCTCAGACGATGCCAGTGACGACGACTGTTTGATAGTAAACATTTGTCTAAATATAAATTATAGTGCTGAATATAAAAACCGTTCAAGACAAGGGATGGAGCTGGAGCTATAACACTGCTGTTATTTGGACAGCCTGATTTCGTGGCCGCAATGTCAGTCAGTTGCTTTGAGTTTTGTTTCGTTGTTTATCTGGCTAAAATTAGAAGAGATAGCTGAATATTGTGCTTATAAATAGTTGAGTAAACATGCAAAAAGCATACCTTCCGTAAAATGTGTATTATTTGAATGTCCGTACCGGCTCAGATAAGCGGGAAACAAATTTACTTATGCCATTTGTGTATAAAGGTGCAAATAGGCTTCAGTACGTGTGTGGGAGCAAAGTGTGGTAATGATATTCAAACTCAATAATAAATAATAATTATTGTATGCTTGTCGACAATCGTAAATATGAATATGAATTGACAGATGTTTCAGTCGAGCACTAGTACGGGTACATTCTGAATTGCAAAGCGGAAAAGCACACAATTAGGTTGGGTGAATCGACAGCTGCTGCTGTAATTAGCTGTTCGACACTTTTATTTTTTACTTTTTAACTTATCGAAGTTTATGAGTACATACAAATATCCTGGCAGATTCTACTAACTTTTACTTAGCTCGCGCACTTGAAGTTGTAATCGCGAACAAGACACGCATGTATGTGTGCATGTTCGCGTATTTGTTTTGTGATTTTATAAATTGCTAAGCGGGTTGTTGGCTCCTGATGCAGTGGCTGCCTGCTGCTGAACTTGAACTGACTTTATTCACGCGAAATAAATTACTTTTAACAAGTGAGCTGCGTTTAAACACTTTAATACCTGTGGAGGTCAGTGGTAAACTGACGGGGCTGGAAACAGGTTTCATTTTCGTGATCAATGCATAATTTCACTTTACATTATCGTCTTCATTCTCATGTACTTGACGATTTAAATTGATTAATTAGATACCCTAGGGTAACAGGACAATGTGTACATTGAAAACTTTAGGCGGGGAAATAGCTAACAGGTTTACATACGCCAAAACAACGTCAATCCATTTGGATTCCATCAGCTTGTAATCAAAAATAATATTTTTTGATTTAGTAGTTATTGAAATTTGAAAAGCCAAAGGGGTGTCGCACAAAGGCAGTCCAAGCCCTAATCGGCGAGACTGTTCCGCGAAAACGGGGGTTTTTTTAATTTGCTAATACAAAAAGCCAAACATTAGTAACCGGTTCGGTTCAATATACGTCACAGATAGAAGACACTAACTCTTTAATTTTTTGTTATTTTTAGATTCACCCAATTCCAACGACCGTGATGCGGGTTTTTGTTCCGCCAGTTCGGAAAGCGAAGGCGGAGACGACCTGGCCGTCGAGCACGCGCGCAGTGGCAGTCCCAACATCGCACCAAAAGGAACAGACGACTCGACGGACTCCAAGCCAATAGCACTGATCCGCAACAAACGCAAGAGCACGGAACCCTCGAAGGTTGTGGGTCTGACGACTCCGACGTCTGCCTCCATGTCTGGTCCTCCGGCCAATGCGAGTTTTAATGCGACAGGTCCGCTGAAGAAACGCATACGCTACACCTCCTCTGCCGATTCGGCGGTAGTGCTGACACCTCCAGCCATAGAGTCTCCACCACCCATCACCCGTTTGCCTTCCACGTTGAGCGCGGAGCACGAAATTATGCCGAATCCGGCTCACATCTTTGTCCGCCACCCGGGAGTGACTACCCTTCACCGACCGTTTGCTCCTGCCCATCCAGAACAGCTAGAGCCGCTCGCACTTGTGACCAAGAAGAAGGAGTGCGTCGACAGCGCGTCGCCTAAAACGGAGACTTACTCCACTCTACTGAATGGAAAGCAGCCATCTACCAAAAAGACATTGCAGAAAAAGGCGCCAAAGGTATCAACGTCATCTACTCTGCTGGACGCGAGTCTCAGCGATGAGGATCTGTGCAAGCCGGGAAATCTGGCATCTGACATGTCGCGACCTCAACAGCACCAGCACCAGCGCAATTACAAGAATATGACAAGGGAACGCCGCATCGAGGCAAACGCCCGTGAGAGGACTCGAGTCCACACCATATCCGCCGCCTACGAGACGCTCCGACAAGCGGTTCCAGCCTATGCCAGCACTCAAAAACTCTCCAAGCTCTCCGTGCTGCGGGTGGCCTGTTCCTATATACTGACGTTGAGCAGAATGGCTGGCGAGGACTACAGCGCCGATCAATCGGAGCCCTCCATTGCCGAGTGCTTGGAAGCTGTAACATCTACCATTCAAACCGAGGGAAAGGTGAAGCGGAAGAAGGACGAGTGATCTGTCTAGTTTGGTCGAGAAAGACATTTTTTAAGACTTCTAATGTGACTGATTACTGTTACTGTTACAAATAATCAAGTGTGCTTGAGCTTAGGCTAATCCTGCATACAGCATTCCTACCCACACGCTCTGAGTCTTAAGCATAGTTGAGGTCACAAGTGGCCAAATAGCTTTAAAAGTTTCCAAGGCTTTGTTTAGTTATACAAATCAGATAAGTTTTAAGTAGAGGGGAAATCGATAATGCGCGAAATAAACTTTTTGAGTATGCATGCATACATATTGTACTATATAATGATATTTTTAGAATTAAGTACCAGCGATGTGATCCTAATTTAAAATCGCTTTTTACTGAAACATGTTAGCCAGTACAAATAGTCAACACCAACACACTGAAAAGACAATAATCGTTATCTTTAACCTTAAATGACAATAAGTAAACTTTTTATGTATACCTGAAAATGTTTCATAAAGATTTTTGTTTCAAACAGGATTCTTGTTTTAATATTCAAGCACTTACATAAGCAAATATACATTGTAAGAGAAACTTTGCCAAAATGGATTCATTTCACTATACTTTTTAAATAGTTTAGGATTGATTATGAATAAATACATATATTTTTAGAAGCACCTCTAACAAAACACTATGAAGTTTTTTACAAGCAATAAACTAAAAATGTTTATTTTTTTTAAGAGAGTGAATATGAATGAGGACAAATTTGTAGTAAAACATATGTTTTTATTTTCTTATGCTGTTAAAGGGGTTCCATCTACAAAATTAATTAAAAACCTGAATAATTTCAGTCTGTGTAAATAACTATAGTCTTTTACTCTCAAATTGTAATCTCATCGTTTTATATAAATAGATATATGTATAAATACGCGTAAGTGCCATAAAAGCAGAAAATATACAAATCTGACTGTCCAGAAAATGTTTTTTTATATCGTGGTCGCCGAAGACAGGTGGTGTTTGGGGTTGACGTTTAGTCATTAGTCACCTGAGTGCGAGTGCACTGAATATTGCAAACAAGCACGAAAACCAAATACAGGTGACGGCGTTAAGGGGTACTTTATGTCTGTACGTTAAATAATCTTATCGTTCGCAACAAGCTATTTGGTGGTATTATAACTCAACAGGTGCGCACAGAACGGCAGGCGATCGATTCAAGTACACCTGAACGCATCCACGTTATCATAAACGCGTTTTGGCACACTATAGTCCCCTTATCAGGTTCAGAAATATATTTGTCAGCTTATCTAGCAGGCACAAAGTTTACCGATATAACAGTTAACATAGTGCATGAGCACCCATGACGTATCCGAATCAACACAACACAGTTAGTTATGCAAATGAATACCAAAGTGCCTGCATCTAGTTGACCCAGTGCAATATCCAGCACAAATTACATCAGCCTAGAATCCTATAGAAAACAGGTTAATATGAGCAATTTCTGATCAGCATATAATGACTTAAGCATAGGCGTTATTCAACAAAAACCAGGTGCTTGAGCGTGCACTTGTTTTTCTAAACCTATTCAGCGTACTTGCATATCCATATTTATAGGACCTGATACAGTTGTTTATTTCTAAATCGACTTTATAATTATATCAAAAGCCTTATCAAATATATATTTTGAAAATGTCAGGTAATAAAAAACACATAATTAAATGGATTTTGTGCCAATCATTCAGTAATGGAGAACATGATTCGGCAATTCGAGATTTATAAGAGGAGGAGCTATTAACCTATCTCCAGCAAAAGCATCAAAATATATATACATTCATTGGTACATCAAGATGCAACGAATTTTTCATCAATATTTTTGATGCGGAAGGAATTTTCTGACATGTATCTAATAAGTCAATTGATAAATTGGAGGAATTCTCTTTAGCTGTGTTTTCAGATAGAACTTTTTAGTCCGTTGGATCTAATATCAATTTATCAGTATATAGATAATTATCATTATTAAATAATATATATATACTTCAATAAATAATTATATTGAGTTATATATTGATAAAAATATTTCTCATTAAAGATTTGCGTTAACTTTCGATTCATTTGAATTTTTACAAAGATCTTGGATTAGGCTGACGTAATTACCGGAGTCTATTACAGACCCGACAATTAAGAGATATACATCCTCTAGTTTGCGTTTGTCAATGAATTATAATTACTACATTAATGGGGAAGGTTCAATAAATAAACCAATCCAATATTTTATTGTTTTGCACAACATGCAAAATTGGGAAGTTTACTAAACTATTGTTGCTATTGGTTGTAATGTTTTTTTTAAATCATCTCCCGGGGTATAAAAATAATTAAAGTTACTCGAACTGGCTCTTCCAAATGTTCCAACATGAATTTAGGTATAGCCGAAAAATATAGACTGGAAACCTTTGAAAAGGTTTCAAAGCAAAGTAATGGTACACATCATCAAAAGATAATCAAAAAATAATGAAATAAATTTTGGGACGCATATAAAATAAGTTCGGGCTAATTTATATTCTACCAATGGACCGATTGCGTCCCGAGAGCACAGACTTCAAAAAAGATAACATATCTTTCTAAAGCCATGTTTGAATACCCTTTTTGGAATATTATTTTTCAAAATGTATTTCATGAATATTCCCATTTAAAATTTTAAAGCTAATTTTTTTATATTTTTGATAGATTCTAAAAAAAAAATTTTTACGAAATAATTGGTAGAATAATAACATTAGCCAGACAATTCATCTCCAAAAAGGTAATTTTTTATTATTCTTACAGAAAAAAGCATACCAATTCTTTCGTAAAATTTTTTTTTAGAATCAATCAAAAATATAAAAAAAATTAGCTTTAAAATTTTTAATTGGAATACCGTCGAAAGACGTAGGGCATGCAGGACACTGACTGAACGCGCAGCGCTGTCCATTGATATTAATAAGACTTATTCTTGCAACTCTTTTTTTTGCTGGCTCAATGCCAACAGTAAAAAGTGGTCCCAGTATTTGAGCTCAAGCCGACCTTATACCTGTGGTTTTTGGAGGACTCGTTTGGCAGGCGCACAAAGATCGTAAGGTTCAGAGTTTTGGTACGGAATTAAACATCTGTTACCAACTGGTATATGAATAGCCTAATCTGACTTCTGGTGCCAAAGTAAAAATTAGCATTTGTGTAAACAATAAAAATTAAGTAAACTATGGTACGCCGGTGCATCACATGTCGTGACGAGATGTTGTTTTAGTCGAAGCAAACTGAGAAATTGTTGCGCAAATATTGGCTTTAATATCGTCTAAAAATACCACATCCAATTGTAGTTGCAGCTTTAAGTTATAGCAGACGTCAAATATTGTCGCACCTGTCACAGGTATGGGCAACGTCTATTTCGGGGCAGTTGCCAGTTGCGCGTGTGCCTCCCAACGTTTTGGTGCGAGGGTGAGCCAAACAACTACGTATCGTCTTGGCATCACATGCTGAGCGAACAAGCGTGATCTTTTCATTAAATATGCGTAAAAATTAGCACGACCGATGCTGCCTGGACTACTTTGATAATTAACCAAAAATTTACTACTCGTTATAAAGGTGAGACTAAAAATAGAAGCCGGCTGGCTTATTGTTTACATGCTAAATCGTTTGGTTTTAGGTTTTTGTGGATTGTGGCTATTTTAAGCTCTTCCCATTTGGTAAATAAAGTTGCACTTTCTGCAGTAGACATTGATCTTATTAGAAAATTCTACATCGCTGTTAAAGACGGTAATAGGGGATAATTTACTTGTGAACAGTTGTTAGAAAAGAAAGGTTCGACATTGGTGATCATGGTCTGAAGCCAAGACAATCGTTTGCTCTTGATATCTTACAGATTAAATAGCACTCAGATAACAATTACTTTGTTAAGATAAATCATATTAAACGCATTAGATAATTTAAAGGGTTGATTTCCTAGAAAGTTTGTATACAGCTGGCGACATTTAGATAGAAATGCAAAATACTGAGAGCTGCGCGAAAAGTGTGAGGTTGAGAAAAAATGTGCGACTTTGTGTGTGTGTGAACGTCGGGCACACACGCGCACACGGTTGGTTGGCGCCTAGATTGCAAGGCACAAGTGACAATTTTAAAATAAAACCAGACTAGCGGGCTTGTGGCAGTGCCATAGTTGACCAAGCAAAAAAGAATAAAAGGAAAGAAAGGAAAGCTATTAGGCGACACGGCGCGACAGACACTCTTTATTGCATGCCAAAAGTATGTCTAGCAATTGCCGAGTAAAATATTTAAAATAAACTCTTTCATTTGAATAACATGCATGTGTACCAAGAACTCGACTCGTTAATTCTTAAGGACATATTAATGCATCTGATTAAATCAAGCGATGCTTGCACTAATTACACTTGATCTGCCACGAGGTGTAACTCACCTACATGTTTTCGCGTAGAATTTGTAGAAATATGACCCAATTGCCGCTGACTAATCATTGCCCGCATGCTCCTCACGGCACTCCGCTGACTGCGGCGGCCAATTATCACGTAATTTGCTATAACTTAAGAACAGCCGCCTGTCTGCGATTGTTTGTTGTTATTTTGAGTGCGTAATTGACGTGGTAGACAAGAATTTAAATTGACAGATAGACGATGTGCAAGGCGGAGTGCGCAGGCGCACAAGCAAAAGTACCACCCGAGTTGGTTGTGTTGTTGGCGTCAAGTCAATCTTGCAATGCGTAAATGTCACTTGGCGCCGAGCTTCGGAATCATTTGTTGATATCTAATAACAATTGAATCTTTTCAATTTGAAAACCATTTGTGATTAGATATACATATATATATATATATGGCAAAAGGTACGTCTTTACGGTTAGCCGGAATTTGTACTTTAAACGTATTAAAAAGAAATATGATGGGGGCGTTGACCAACCACAAATTAAACGAGTCAAAAAATGGCTTCTTAAAAACATAGGGCTTTAATTTTATAAAGCGTTTCTGTCTTGATTTCGATACCCGATTGCGTGAGAGAATTTTGAAAGAAATTAAACTGTTCTACATACGAATACGTTTTTTAATGTTTAATTCGATTCGAACACGAAACATCAAAGGATGACTACCCTGGATTGGTAATATAATTAAATGTTGAACATTTTATTCTTGGAACCCCAAGGGTAAGGAAAGCAAAAAGGATAAGCAAAACTGATTTTCTATATCCCATAAGTTGATTCAATATTTCATCTGTACGGCTGTGAGGATTGCAAACGGTCTTAATAATTGCGACATTTGCCAACGCATTCGTCTTTTTCTTTGATCCGGTCAGTTAAGTACTAATGAGTGCAAATGACACATTACCGTATTACTGTATAAGCAATATGACGCCGCCTATTTGCACAACCAATTTTAAATTGTATGTATTTCAACTGCTACCATCTGTGTCCTCTTTCATTGCATTGCCCTCGCCAAATCCACTCCATGCCAGTAATCCAAGACCCAGCTTGGACATGCGCATAGAAATGGCGCCAGTACGTCCATACGTCTACGCAATGTGCCATGCTGGACCAACCCACAAGCCCACTCCCACTTGTCTGACTGTTCTTGCCAAATGTGCCACACTAAAAGGAGAATCTGTATATACTTCCGAGCAGAGACACAACTGCGCTTCAAGAGATTTCAGGGATATACATACATATGCGTATAGGGAAGAGGTCTGTCGGTTGAGACACAAATTTCTTCCCTGCCATTTAAATGTTGTACTAAAAATAAACAATAGCCGCAGTTTTTAAAGCCAGTACTATAAAAATGGTTAGCATTGATACTTTGGCTAGCTGTTTAGTTTCGAATTTAAACAGTTCTCAATATTCAGTAGTTGTTGGCTGTCTGGCACCAATTAAATTACTGAAATTTTGGTATTTCAATGAGCTCCGAAAACCCAAAGACGTTCTTTATAAAACAAAAAGTAGCAAAGAACCAGACGCCGACGCCGCCGGCTGCTAGTGGACGGCATGGCAACGGCAACACCGAAAAAGGATGCGAACGAACGATGTGTCCAACTACCATATAAAAATATGCAATCAAACGAGTGTAAGATTGATCTCGGGCGATATTCTGAGAAATCGAGAGCCGGTGCTCCAGTCTGATCGTTGGTCCCTTAGTTGGAGGAGCAGCACACATTCAAACATGCCGGTATAAATACAACATTTTTAAAGCAGGAACGAGGGGTCTAAATGTATGTTTGGAAAAATAACCAGCATCTTCCCATTTTGTGGATTTATCGGTGACAGCAATGGGCAAGGACAGTCCTGGTGAGACTTAAAAGTAAATATATATTTTAATGCTTTTAAATTATTTGTTCAAACTAGCTATAATAATCAATAAAATAGTTAAACGAAAACCCTTTAAGAGTTGTCTATGCTAAAACTTGTTTATAACTATTTTTAACTTCACATATTATTATAAATAAATCTGTCCCAAGGCAGTACTTCCAATCTTGAGGTGTCCTCGCTAATCCGAGGTCCGCATAAATGGCTACTGTCATTTCCTTGGTATGTAATTGATTTCGACAGTGCGAACTCGCATTGACACTGCCGTCCGACCAGTAAGTGTGAATCCACGGGATTAGCACATACACATGATAATAAACACAATGCACTGCAAACCGGGCAAAAAGTGATTGATTTCGCGGACTCTTTTTTCGAATGGCGTCGTCGGCAGTCCAAGTTCCATACAAATGTCCACGCACCAATTTTTCGATAACTTCGTTTTTGGACGGTTTGCAATTCGGCCTGCAAGGCAGCGAGCATTTCGCTGGATGCTTACGTCGAATACGAAACGGGTTGCATTCCGTTGACCATTTCAAACAATTGGCAGTGGCAGCTGCTGTGGCAAGCCCAAAGGCACAGGAACACCAAGGGGAAGCAAGAGGAACAGAGGACAAAACCTCAATTGAGGTTTAATTTAGAATGTACCCAGTGCTACCGCACTGCGGAGCCATTGATTGCACAGTGTTCTGTGTGACACGAGAACACATTCGGAATATTGATAAGCTTTACTCATTTTGCGCCTGGCTGGCTAATCGGCGCAGACCGGCGAGGACAACATCATGTTGTAAATTGGTGCGAATGCATTTGTTACCATTTACTTCTCAGCTCAGCACTGACCGCCTGCCCAAATTTGTGATATTTGATTGGTCTTGCTTGATCAGAAGCATTTCAATCGGACTGCGCGCTCCTAACCCATTAGCGCAGCCAGAATTTTATCAGAGGAGTCAGGGGTTGGGAATGTCTATCAAACGAAGCGCGTAACCAAACAATTTTTTTTTTAATTAAAAAACCATTGATAAAGGGATTACAAATTATTTGATTAAAGCTGAACTAAATGTTAAATTCGGTTAGGAATACTTATATTTAATAAGTTAAAATCTTACAGCCACATGAAAGATTAGTCAGTTTATTCATACGTATTATTCGATGCATTGGTAATCAAATTAATAACGTAATTTCGGCTGACAAATTAAAACATTAAAAGTTTTTTGGCGAAGTGTGATCAAATGAAAGGGACGCCAATCACGTTGATTGATGTTTCAAAATGCCTAGTGGTTAAAAAAGTATTAAATTATTAAACGACAGGTAGCTGGGTAACCGATAGCAAAAAGGAATGACAGCGCTGATCGCCCCTACGCTCAGGAATTATAGAATGTGTTCTGTTTTGTAATTTTAAATTATCGTTACTTGTAAAGTTAAAGAGTATATTGTATTCGTTGGAAAGTATATAAAGGTTGAAGGAAGCGTTACCGATTCTATAAAGTCGTGTCGACCTAGTCATGTTCGCCTTTATCCGCCGTGGGATAGATTATAATAATTATTAGAGAACTTTAATCAAAAAAATGGGTTACAAAATGTGCTATTGGTTTACGGACAAAATTATAACAATGGTAACACACAATAATCAAACAAGGAAATTGGTAAAGAAATTGACTTTTTAATTTAGGAAATATTTAAATGTAGATAGATAATAGATATTTCATTAACAAAATCATAAATTGGTATGACAGTTACTCAAGATATGGAATCTAGAAGATGAGTTTTTGGGTCCTCACTCTGCCAATTTGGCAGTGCCAACCATTATGAAATACGTAAAAAACGAAATACAACAGACAAATTCATTTAAAGGTATAAGAAATATATCAATAACGCAAGTTCGAATTTTGTGTATTATATATCTGTAATCCACTTCATTAGCAAAATCGTCCAAGGCATGCGTGACACGTACAAACTTGAACAATAAATAATATTTTTTTCTTGGCAGACGCTTTTCTACTTCCTTCGGCAAGCCTTGGGAAATATTTGCAGACCTGACGTTTTCGGCTTGGCTTATTTTGCCGCTTTTTGCTGGCCATGACAAAACAATGTCAACTGTCTTGAGAAACACATGTAGACATAAACGTCAATTCAGGACAGCCTTTCCAGTGACGACTCTGGCAGCACGGCCATGCAGTGTCCTTAATCGATTATCATTTTTAATAATCAATTTCCGAGGCCCTTCAAGCCGCCTGGACCGGTGGACTAGCTGGATGAAGCGGAGACTGCTTTGGTATCCGTGCTGCTTATGGGCAGACGATCACTTGACGTCGACAGCGCATTGACATTTATGAGCTGAAGCGCTGCGAGGTGCCCTAGGCCCTAACTCCAGGGCGCATAGTTATTTTAATTGCAGAATACTCAATGCCTCCATATGAGTTTGGTAAAGATGAAATCTAAAATATACGTTTGGGTACTATTAAAGTTTTTCGTTTTGTCTTGGCCAACAATACTGGATGTAAAAAGGTATGCAGTAGCTCAGACGTGGTTCTTATAAATTTGTAGAACAAGTCTTTTGACAGCTTTGATTTCCGAATATTGGTTTATTAATTGATCTACACAGAAAGGATGTCACTGATATAATTATATTTCAAGTTGCGGGATCTCTGTGCGCTTCCAGGCTTTTATAGCACGTTCCATGTTCGTACGCACTTAAAAGAAAGTTATAATTATAAGCCGAAGAATAAAGATTGCAAAATGTATAATTACCACGTGGCTTTTTAATAATATTGCTGCCCTCGACGACTACTTCCCAAAGCCTAATATCTCCACGGATATTCACAATATCCACACAATCTGGCTTCATTTGATACTTGAAATGAAACAACGACCTGTTGTTTACAAAGAGTTCGTAATAGCTATCTCGGCAGACAATTACTATGACAAAGGCGCCGCCTGGTCTAAGACTTGTATTTAGGCGCGACACTGTACAGTGCACCCACTCACCATTTAAATAGGCACGCCGAGTAATTATAGCCTTACCGACTTTGTCATTTCTACTTCGCAAGAAGCATGGGCTAAAATAAAACGAGACTGTGGGCTGTGGCCAAATTTCCTGTCCTTTCTGGAACGCTATACTGAATCTTTGGGGCATCAAACATACGCGGCCTTCGATTCGAAGCGCTCGTCCTTCGATGAGGACCTCATCTTCCAAGAGCTTTCCATAAAAGGGAAGTGGAAGACTCGGCTGGTACAGGTACTTTTTCGATGACATCTTTGCCAGAGAAGTTAAGACCTTCCATTCAGTTTCCAGGTGCTCTTCATCCTGGAAATCTCTTGATAAATGTTTAATGGCTCGAGGCAATGAGTGGGTTAGACGTATAGGGTACTCTGAAACATAGTATGTATCGATTACTATATCAGAGACATCGCCAAGTACGTCCACAGCTTCCAACCATCGATATGGCATACGGTGAACATATTTTGCAAAGTGATATCCATTCACGGAAATTAAAAAGCACTCCTCAGTAAGTAATATTTGCATCCAAAAAGACTTTCCGCGGGTTAGCTGGAAGCTTAGATAGGATGAGTTCTCCTCGGGTCCCCACATTCCCTTAAGCCGAGAGTTGCGCGTAATATAGTTTTGGGGAAGGCGTGACCCTATTTGCAACAACACATCGCAGTCGTCGCATATTTCACTTCCCTGTTTTGTGAGAAAGTCTATGGCAAAATGCTCACATGCATCTAGAATCATTCCGTGAAAGACGAAGCACAGCCCCGGCCTTGGACATTGGATCACTTTAAAGTGTTTGCGACGATGTGCCGCTGAGCGCTCTTCATAGAACAATGACATATCATCCATGTCTCGCCTTAGAGCCACAGTGCCAGCTCCTGGATAAACGCCCAGAGGCTTGATCATATTCAACTACTATGAGTAAGGAAGGGCAACTCGAGGAATTTTTGTTGTAAATGAGAGTAATAAAATAAAAAAGGATAACATACAGATTTTGACGTAATAGTAAACGACACCGAGCCAAAATAAATATGCGCTATTAATAATAAAGGAGATATGCACATCTAGGCTTAAAAAAAAATACACATCTAGCTTACAATAATATAAATCGGGTAACACCCCGTAGCTTTAATGGTTAAAAAATATTACATTATTTAAAAATTATGAAAAACAGCAGCCTATCACTTAATTATTGTCACTTAATTACTGAGAAAACAAGAACAAGGAAATAAAACCATTTACGCTGGTTGCTGAGGCCTAGCCACAAATAACTAATATTCATCTGTATACAAAGGGTTGTGGTAGACGCGTACATTTTTACCCTTAATAAGAGGATTTTGTTCCAACGTTACATTCCACAGTTTAACATCTCCTTGTATATATACGGTATCAACCAACGCAGGGCTGACCTTATACTTAAAATCGGTCATAAATTGCCGATTCACATAAACCTCATAGGCGTCTTTGGTACATACAATGACCAAACTGAAAGTTCGGCCGGGACGAAAGTTTGTGTCAAACTCCGAACGTTCCTCTTCCGCCCAGGCACCGTTTAACCAGGCATTACGACACACCACCGCCTTTCCTAAGGCGCCGCTGCTTGCTTTTGAAAAGCGTGGATTTAAGTGGAATGCTACGACTGGATGGGGCCAAATGTCCTGCCCCTTTTGTAGGTTTATGTAAAAAGAGTGTGGAAGCAGGCGCACTCGCCCTTCAATCTTCAGACATCGACCTTCGACCAACGAATTTGGCGGCAGTGCTCCATAATAGGGTAAGGTAAGTCCAAAATCATTGGAACTGTGAGTACTCTTTGGTGACCCGTCTGACTGTGTGATCGGAGCGTTAATAAGGCACCACTCATGAGGTATTTTGACGGTCTCCTCGACGCTGGCGTCAATTTCATCAATCTCATCATCAATGTGGAGCTCAATGTTTTTTGCCTCGGACTCGGGCAATCGTTGAGGATAGGTTAGGACCAACGTTCGCTGCATTTCCACGTTACTAACATCACCTTTGACTTCCAGAATGCTGACATCTCTATAAGGAATTCGATGTTTGTATGCTGCGAAGTGCTGTCCGTTTACCGATATCATATAGCATGCGTCAGTAACAAGCACTTGAATGGAAAACTTATCGCCGCGAGTTAGAAGGAAGGGCAATGCCGATGAAACTTCCTCACTTCCCCATATATCCTGTACTTTGGTGTTACGAACAATGTAGTTTTGTGGCAGCCGGGGATTAATGTGGAGCGCCACATCTCGGGTCACATTGTTATGAACAAGATTGATAGAGAATCTGGGGGAAAGATAACAGTTTTATAATAAATCAGATAAGTATTTCCATTTAACTTACCTCTCACAGTTTACAGCCAGATTCCCGGTAACGGTGAAACTGATCCCCTCGCTCAATTGTCCAATTTGATCGTTGAAGTACTTTGGCACTGCATCTGGATATTCGTAAAATGAGGCCTATAATGTGCAATGGGCATTAAAATATTAGAAAAGTACTTTTCGTTTTTTACAATTTCGGATGGTAGCCACGCCAGTTCATGGTAAATGTCAAGGAAAGACAACATTTTTCTAGTCCCAATCAGGTTAAAATATAAAGCTGGGCCTACTGACAAATTAAGCTAACACCGTGTATGTCTCCAATTCAAGTTCAATCTAAATCGATTAATGCACCGCACGTACGAGAACACTATTTTTGAATTTTTAATCACCATTATATATATATACATGTATGTATTTATATATGTACATATACTTTGAAATATTCGGCATTCCAATTGTTCCATTCTATCACTTTGTACTATTGGGTATTTCCTTTGTATATGTATTCATATTATCATCAATGTTTCACTGCATGCTTACCTCATTCAATCCACCGTTTTTCGCCGTGGGACAACAGCAAAGCAATTTCTCACACAAAACCCTAAGGCACATATTATATCTTTAGTTGAATTTTAAAATAAACAAAAACTAAGGTATGAAAATCCCCACCAATTTAAAGTATGGATTTTTTTATATCGCAGACCATGACTTGACTCGTTTAAGGAAAAGATTGTTTGTATTACACCGTAAAGAATGATTCAACGTTGTCCTTGCACGTTGTATGTCTCATCGAACATTAAAAGTTTAAGCACTGCGCAAGTTAATAATACACTTTCAGGTCTTTGTTTTTTCAGTTGAGACAGTAGAAATCTGCTTTAAATCTTCAAAAACTCGGAGGAACAAATATAAAAATGTTACTTAAGAAATTGGTTCTGTCGATGTGCCTGACACTTGGCCGTTGTTATTATTTTTCGATGTCCACCTATTCGCGAATGACTCGTTCGAAGAGAATTGAAACTACACCGCTATGACAACGCTGAAAAGCTCTTTGAACTCGTACAACAAAAGGCGCTGTATACTATATTAGCTCTGAACAGATGTGCAAACATTTATGTACAAGTACAACGATTAAGCCGCTGATTCAGCTTGAGTCGGGAGCTTATCGCTTACGAAGAATATGTCAATAAGACTACAAAATTACTGAAAACTGCTTAAGTTCGATACTTGCCTCGACTGAGAGCAAAACAAACCGAAGCCAGTGCGCACACTTTTAAAACCGCGACTGTAGCGAACAGCTGCTAAAAGCTCCCCAACAATGCGAAACATTGGAATTACTGCGGAGCGCGCTAAACGTCAAAACAAAGACGCAGAAAGAGAGGAGCATGTGTCCAAGCTTGAGAGTGTGGTGCCCCCTTTATGTGAAAACTCGACAGTTTAATTGAAAAGGCACACATCCAGTCTAAACACACAACTACACACGGGGCGATAGCGCACGAGTTTTCCAAATACGTACTTGACACTCTTTTCCATCCACCACCTCGATGTCCAAGTCCAACGGCATAAGGTGCCGGCCCTCTGACTGCTGGAACCTTTCGTGTAACTCCCTCGTGGAGCAGTCAAAAGTATCTATATTTTGGATGCATTCTGCACCCGCCTCAATAGCTGCAAAATCGATGTCTGGCCTCCGATGCATCGTGCCAGAGTTATTCAGGGACTGACGCAACCACAACTCGCGGCAGTGAAATCGAAACAGCTGCAAGCGGCGCTTGATGCGGTAATAGTTTAAACTTTGCTCGATATTAAAGGCGTTCTGCCACAGCGCATCTGAGAGATCGACGAGTTCGCGAACGGAGTGGCAGACCAGGAGTATTATTGCCGTCATACTAACAAAATATACATGGGGTTAGCGATTTTACCCGATGCAGATGCGATTCTGAACAAGCTTACGCTCTTTCCGGCTCTCTCTCGCTCTCTGGGTGGAATTCAGCGGGTACTTGATGAACGAGATGAGATGTTTACTGTCAGCAGGGTATTTCAGACGCCAATTACGTGTGCCTATTGCCGTTATTTGTGCGCGCACTGTTCTGAATTTGATTTTATGCCGGTCTGACCGAGGCCACCTATAGTTTAAAACTTTTATCGACCCCAAAATAGCTTTTTCGATTCTGATAACATGCGTTGTCCACGCACACAAATATAGCTATGCGTGGGTGCCTGTATATACACATATACGTATCTCTATATCAGTTCGTGCGTTGTCTGTCAGTTTCGATAACAGTGGTGGGGCTTTTTGTGACTAATAATGAACCATAAATTTGGCGAGGCTAACAGAAATGTCCAGCAACTTACATCCTCGTTATTGAACCTCTGATAGGTCTCTTCCTCGCCACGTTTTCGTTTTCCACAGCAGCAACTCATCTTGACCTCCGGAGCAAATTGATTTCGGCAGAGTAGAGCTGAACGGCTTAACGATATTATAATCTCAGCTCTTATCAATTGTTCACTGATAAGGCTTTGCACAGAATCACAAGATGGATGCTAGCACATAAATAAAACAATAGTTTTTATGGAATATCGCACTGGTAGAACATTTCCTTCATTCCGAGAAACAGTGAGCTAAAGCTAAATATATTTAGCTTTGCTGAATTCTAGCAACCGCTACCCGTCGCGAGGCTTTTTGAACTGATATTTCGCTTTGCACATTCTCATCAAATCAAATGAGTCGGTTGACTCAGTCACGGCGGTGTGGTTTGAGTGTACATTCGTAGATATACGTTCATACATCAGCATGAACATTTTTATTTTATGACGGAGATGTACTAATTGTTTTGGTTAAGTAAAACAAATGTTTATACATTTTATCTTATAGATTGGAAGCCGCATTTACAAAAGGAAATAAAATATATTTGTTTTAGCTCAAAGAAATAAAGTATACGTAACATTTTTCAGTAAAGGCCCATTTTCTTAAATCAGTTTGTCAACCGAATAATTACAAACTATTTTTGTGTAACATGAATACGAAAACGGGTCTAAATTGTTCAATTTGCAGTACCATGATAAACATTATATATGTACATTATGATAAACATTATATACAGTGATGAACTTAATTCTTGGCACACTTGGCATCTTGGACTTTAGGTTCAATTTTCTCCGACTAATATATGAATAAAAAAATTAAACAAAATTTGTTTATATAAAGGCCACATTTTACTGTTTAAATAATTTGGTTTCATATTTATATCTCTTAAGACTAATTTTATAAAACTTAAAAACGAAAAAATTAGCCTATTCTGCCTGAACAAAATTCTTGGCACACTTGTGTTGTATTTAACTATTTCGCTAAAACTTAACCGATTTGACTAAATTTTTTTGCTAAATCCGCTTTGTCTCAGTTGTCTAGAGGGCATAATGCTAAATTTGAATCCTTAAAACGTTAAAATAACTTAATTTTAACTAAAGACGGTTATATAAAAGTATGTTAAATGCCAATACCCATATCTGTGCGAAAAATAATATTTTAAGGGCAGGATCAGGGTCAATCATATGCTAATATTAGGAAATATGTGCCCAGAAGTTGTTTTTACCATTCGGATCCTTTTACGGCGTTTTAAAGGACTCTCACTGTGCCAAAATGCAAGGCACACAGCTCGACCCATGAGTTTAAGAGGCCAGGGAAGCGAAAGGATCAAGAAAAAGGATAATGTCAACCCTTAGATTTTATAAGCACAGATCGAAGTTCAGGATAGGAAGGACTTTTACAAGGATATTCAACTAACGGACATTTTAAAGGCCCTATAATGTGCCAACTAAATTTTTTTGCAGCTAGAAAAAATTAAGTGATTTCAACGGCCACCAATATAAACATTTAGGATACAAAAAGGGATACTTTAGTATCCCAATCGGCTTTTTTAACCTTTTTACTTTATCAGGTGCTATACCAATCCTTTCCATAGACTTAAGGACTCGGAAAGTTGACCTTCAAAATAAATGAATATTTTCTAGCTGCAAAAAAATTTAGTTGGCACATTACAGGGCTTTTAAAATGTCCGTTGGTTGAATATCCTTGTAAAAGTCCTTCCTATCCTAAACTTCGATCTGTGCTTATAAAATCTAAGGGTTGACATTATCCTTTTTCTTGATCCTTTCGCTTCCCTGGCCTCTTAAACCCATGGGTCAGGATGTGTGCCTTGCATTTTTGCACAGTGAGAGTCCTTTAAAACGCCGTAAAAGGATCCGAATGGTAAAAACAACTTCTGGGCTCATATTTCCTAGTATTAGCATATGATTGACCCTGATCCTGCCCTTAAAATATTGTTTTTCGCACAGATATGGGTATTGGCATTTAACATACTTTTTTATAACCGTTTTTAGTTAAAATTAAGTTATTTTAACGATTTAAGGATACAAATTTAGCAATATGCCATCTAGACAACTGAGGCCTAGCGGATTTAGCAAAAAAAATGAGTCAAATCGGTTAAGTTTTAGCGAAATAGTTAAATACAACACAAGTGTGCCACGAATTTTGTTCGGGCAGAATAGGCTCATTTTTTCGTTTTTGAGTTTTAAAAAATTAGTCTTAAGAAATATAAATATGAAACCAAATTATTTAAACAGTAAAATGTGGCCTTTACATAAACAAATTTTTTTAAATTTTTTTATTCATATATTAGTCGGAGAAAATTGAACCTAAAGTCCAAGATGCCAAGTGTGCCAAGAATTAAGTTCATCACTGTATGTACATTATCTGTTGTCGCTACAAATTCATTGCAAACGGCTTGAAAGCAAACTCTAATTAATATTAAAACTGAACAGCTTAAATAATAGTCTATTACTAGTGTGTAAACCAATAAACTTCACATATTTTCCATTCTGCTTTTTAAAAGCATATTCTAGCTTTTCAGTTTTCAGAGTCTAGAAGGTACTTTTTATAAATACAAAAATTCAAGAAGTACATAAGTGCTGAATAAAACCAAAATAAGAGTACACGACAACTTCTTACGTTTTAAATAGTTGCACTATTCTTGACTCAGTACGGTTTGTGATCTCCACACATTGTTTATCTTAGTGTTAATAAAACTAAAATAGTTTTAAAATGTGTGTGTACATTGTACACAGTTAAATTTGTATCATGAAGGGATTTAGGCTATGTATTTTAAATTTTCAAAAAATAAATTCACATATTTCATACGTGAAACAAAATTTTTCGGCAAAGAATATTTCAGCGCTGCCGTGTTGAGCGCGTACCCATTGCATGCTGCGATTTAGGAGATGGACCCTTATAATACTTTGATAAGGTTTTGCTTGTGCGGGTCGGGCGATTGCTGCTGCTGCTGCTACTCCGTTCTGAAGCTTTTTCTGTATCTGTCTTCAATGGCAAGTCGTCATCTTCATCCCACCTATTAGTTTTTTTTTCTTCATCGCCAGAATCCTCGACTGTGGCATCCGTCTTCGATTTACGGCTTCGGCGGTTTCGTGATGAGGATGAACTGACATCAGTCCGCTCCGACTTGTCACTGAAAATTCGGTAAAAAATTGAATTTTAAATCCATATAATAAAATGTAAAACTCACTCTTTAACGGAAATCTTGTTTTCTTCCCCAGCTTTTGAACCACGACTCAACAGGGCAAGCTCTCGTTCGGCAATGGCTTTCTTATGCTCATCTGCAGATTCGGCCGCACTTAGCTTAGTCGTAGAATCGGCCAGTTGTTTCACAGGTTCTTCATGTTTGCCCCGCTTTAGCTGACGCTGTTGTTCCTGAGCCTGTTTTATAGAGCGTTTTAGCGCACTTCTGAGGGTATCGCGCGAGCTCTCAGGCGCAACGTCCTTTCCCATCTGAGGGAGACCAATAGCCTCCAGAAGCTTCTGGCCGAGCACAGCCTTTACTTCCGACTTGCGATTGCTTACCGAACCAGCTTTTCCATCATCGGTATCCTCACTGGCTCCATTATCTGGGCCGGACTCAGCCACTTTAGGATGCTTCTCTGCATTTGTGGCTATAGGATTGGGATCGCATGTGGATTCCGGAACGGTGCTCGTAGGTGCCTGGGTCGGATCATTTGTAAGTTCTTTACTTGACGGTTCTCCCTCAGTTACCATTTTTTTCGACTGCCTTGGCACAATTGGTTCTTTACTGGGACATATATCTTTTGGACTCGGTGGTTCGCTCTTTTTAGGCACAACGGATTCAGACTGCTTTGGAGCCCGAGTAACGGTCTTGCGCCTTTTCGTAATTCGTCGTAATCCTGCAGCTATTGCTGGTTGGGCTTGCGGTGATAAGTGGTTGTCCTCGACTTGTACCACAACCTCTGGATCGGCTTCCAGCGGCGGTTGTGGCTCGACCAGTACAATATCTTCTAAATTAACTACACTGCATGAAACACTACGACGCCGGCGAGCATTACGCTGATCTTTCGATTCGTGTTGCTGTTGCTTAAGCAATGAGATAAGCGCCTCGTTCAGCGCATCGGCCGGATTTGATCCGAATTGCGAAATAAGCATAGCATTGATATTTGACAATTCGTTGCTTACATGAGCTGCATTTGAAGTTGACGAGGTCGACTTGTCTCCAGCCGGTAAATCGCGAACACGCATCTTTCGTTGATGACGTTTCACCGTTGAAACGCTAACAGCCTTCTTGTGTCGCAGTGGTGGCGGTGGCTCCTGCTCTGTGGGACTGGAAGGCACTAACTGAACCGACGTTTCTGGTGGTAGTTTGTAAGGCATTGCGCTGGATAAGTCAGCCAGCTTCAGAACGTCTTTTGCCGCCTGCGTGGAAGTGGTCGTAGGTGTGGACAAGATAGCTGAAGGAAGTGAGTTCTGATCTTGTTGCTGGACAACCGGCAGCATGGGGGCCAAATACGGGCCTAAAAGTTGAGTCAGATCCGTGTCTTGTAGGAGATTGTTGTCAGACATAATAACAGCGAACTTAGAACTCTTTAAACGTGTCATTTGCTCATCGCAATTTTCCGATGTCACCGGCCACTTCAGTGCCTTGAGAATGAGCATCAACAAGTCTGGATCTCTTATGACGCTTCCCAGGGAAATCGCATCAGTGAGGCTTTTAACACTGGGCATTGACTTTGACGGGGATGAGGCTTGCGAGTCCACCGATAAGGTTAAGTCAAGTGTCGCCGACATCGTCTTAGATGTACTTGGTATAGTTTTCTTTAGCTTTTGCGGGACCGCTTGAATTGTTACTTCTTCATCCTCCCGTTTCTTCTTTGGGGCCGCAAAGATCATGTGCTCCGGCAGTGCTTCCTCCACAGAAGGCTCTCCCCCATATTGGGGCACCAGGGTAGTTGTAACCAGTGGCCTAATATCCTCAACTGGGGTTCGATTCTGCGCCGACTTGAGCAGGGATACCTGACCGCTACGCATGGCTTTAATGTTGTTCAATGTATTTTTAAGATTTCTGCTTTTCTGCTGAAACACGTTACTGGACAGATTAGGCATTCCTACGCTGCCGACGTTAGAAATGGGAGAAACGGTTGAGGTGGTCGCATTCTTGGTGTCCGCCCGATGGCTTATTCCGGTGTTGTCGTCTTTTCCGGACACAGGCACATTGCCTGTTATGCGTCCATGAGTCTGAATGAAGTTAATTACTCCTGCCGGCGATAGTTTTGTATCTGGGGTCTTCTTCGTTGCGTTGGAAGCTGACGGCTCGAAATTCAGGGGCACCAAGGAGGGAACATGCTGCATGGAGCGCTGTGCGATCGACATTGGGGCCGAGCCGTACCGAGTATCCAAAAAAACGCTGTTGCGTCGAGTCGGAGTTACATTGCTCTTTACGGTTCCAGGGGCTTTGCCAATGCCAGAAGATGCAGCAGCCTCCCTTCCTTTACTGGCCACCACGAGTTCTTCCTGAGGGCGACCGCCCGCCTGGGGCTTGGACACTGTGATGGTAGTCTCCGGAACACGGGTTAGCATAATAGGTCGGAATTCATCGATCTGGGCTTGGTTATCCTCGTTTAGTGCTGGGACTTGGGGGGCCGGCGGCGGCACGCTTATTCGAGCGGCAGCTGCTTCCCGCGCATTCTTTGGCTGAAAGTTATATTCGATGGTGAGCTTAAAGATTTTAATGTGAGAAGCGACAGTTCAGTTTACCAGATTGCTCAGTAGAAAGTCGCGGAACACGAGCTGAGTGTGTTTGGCTATATTCGAGAGCGATGCCGTGGCCTCCACCTGTCGGTAACAGGACTTGCAGAGCACCTTGGGCAGGGGATCGTCTTCAGCCACCTGAAATGGAAAGCTCGTAAGTCTCAGCCAGTCGAAGGCGCGCCTTAGGTTCCTGTCTATACATTTCCTTCACTGAATCCGAGCCATGTAATTTTCAAGCTTTGCGCTCAGTGGTGACCTCCAGGGCATCGGTTTTGGTATTTTTCATGGCCCGTACTAAATTTGACGTAGCGCGATCGAACGCCTTTCCATTTACTTACATTTAGGTAGAGGTGCCTCGATATTTTATCCCTCAGTCCTTGTGTCTTGAAAATAAACACACTCTCGACCACGGAGTTGGTTTTGCTCTTCGTGTTGGCAGCGCAAATGCGGCACAAGTGCTCGAACTGAGCATCCATGTCTGGAGTCTCACGTTGTGCCTGGTGTTCCCGAACTCAGAGCTCCACACGCAACATGCTGTTGGCAAAATACGAATTGCATTGGTTAAAATCTCCCACGGTTGCGGTGTAAAAAGCGCACTTTGCGTTCACGCCGAACTCACACACACTGCCATCTGCAATGCGGCTCGCCTTGCACACACTTCGTTTCATAAAATGTACACTTGCAATTCGAGAAAGTCGTCGCCTCTGAGAGCGTGCAAAACAAATGGCAGAGTGAAAAACAAATAATAACAAACTGTAAATGTATTGAACATTGAACGCGAAGAGCGCAAGTCCGCAGCGGAGAGAGGGACAGAAACTGATCTTGCTCTCAAAACTCACATTTTGCTTTCTTCTTTTCACGTTGTCCGCACTCGCTATGCTATGTTTTTGGGGAAAATATATTCTCCGCTGAAATTCTTTGTTTGAATACTTCTGAGGCGTGTTTCACTTACGCCGAACGCCCCGAAATCGCTTCCCGGGGAGGTGCAGTAGTTTTATTCACTTGAAATAGACTTTTGCCACACCGATTTCACCAGCACTTGCGTTGCGACGAGAAAACGAAATAAAACTGAGCGAAACAAACGTTGCTGTTTGCCATTACACTCACCACCCACCCATACTAGTGCATTCCCGCACGCACACAGATACGCGCCGACGGCTTTGTACTCTTCCACTTCCTCTGCTCTCGCCTCACCTACGTTGTTCGTTGTTCCGGCGATGGTGTGCGTGCCGCCTGATTGTTGCTTGTATAACACACCTACACGATTTTTGTTTCTGTTTTTCGAGCGCTGGTGCGAGTGTGTGTGAGCGCCTGGTGTCCGTCTGTTTCATGGCGCACAGCCAGTTTTCCGCTCTATCCATGTGGCCTCAATGGCGCATTTGTATTCGGTTGGTTTTTTTCTACCAGGTTTTTCTTTCGGGCCCGGGTACATGGGGTCTATGAAAATAATGTTGCAGGCTTTTGCGTTTGCAAAAGCTCTCAAAACCAGTGCATTTTATCTGGATCTATGCAAATAATTTCATAAATGTGTACTACGTAAACTTGAATATGGCTAGCCCGCTTATCAACTGGTGATACAGCTCTAATCACACAGCCCAGAACTAATGGGCACTAGGCAGTCGATTCGTTTGGGTGCAGCACTCTTCTTACACCAAAACTAGTTGTCGCTCCGCTCTCTTGCATGTGTTGGTGCTGGTGTGTCTGTGTGTGTGTGTCGCTTTTGTGCTGTGTCTCTGATCTTTCTTCTCCTTTTGTAGCTGTTTCCTTACGCTATCGCAATACACTATTTCCCGCATGTATTCAAAGTGAGGTATGCTGAGAAACTTTTTATGCCAACGCGGGGGCATACATGATCCGGTTCAATGTGGGATGTCAATTATTCTTTGGGATCAGCAATGTGGACGGCCATTTTATGTTGTGGTAACCCACTTGGAGCAACGCAGTATCTCCATTTTGATATAAAACAAATAAGTAGGCAAACGTTTTGTTTTCCTTTAATATTGATTTTTCAATGGGTGACATCTTAGATTTTTGAATTCAGACCATCTATCTTGTGTTTGTATTGTCTAATGAATACAACAGAATCAAATCGACTATATGTAGGTGGGGTAAGCTTACATATATTTTAAAAACTTTCTAATGTAACTTGCATTGATCTTTGCATAAACAACATTTATGAATGTAGTTTATCTAAGCTTTCAATACATTCTTAATCAAAATGTTTTTTTATATATGCACTATGCTTGTGTTTCCTTCCGCCCCTCAGTTCCCCTTCGCCGTAAGGTATGCAACGAATTCGTTGGCAAGAAGAAGGCCGCGTACCGCGTTCGTAATAGTTTAAAAGAAATGCACAATCTACATCTTCATAGTATTAATAAATCAACTTCGGTGCGTTTTGAAACTTATTTTTAAAATAGGCAAGACTTAAAATAATTTCATATTCCACTAATAAGCAAACAAATTTATTTCGCAATTATTATTACAAAAATAAATTTAAACATTAAATTTAACATGTTTTTCCAGTGTTTTTGGCATTTAGACGCAAGTGCACTCTCCGTAAACAAATTCACTTGAAGCAAGAGCGTAATCGGGATTGTGGCGCGTTATCTCCTCCTTATTTGCAATGTAAAAACTTTTCTCTGAAAAAACCAACATACAGCATTGTGTGTAAATATGTATGAGCATATTTATTCGTTGTATATAGAAATTAAAAAAAACGCTCCCTTCGGCTTATAGCTACGGCTGTGTCATACCTCGGGGGTGGCGCACATGTGTGGGTTCCTTCGTTGTTAAAAAGGGAGTATACTTGGATGGGAACACATAAGAGTGCGTCTTTCCCTACTGTAATTCGTTGTTGAACAACTTTTTGTTGGTCTTCTTAGTCTCTATCAACATGTTGAATAAGTTGCAAGCTTAAGTTCAACCGCAATCATTGCTTTTTTCTAATTAGTTTTGAAATGAATTCCTATTTAATTTAAGTATCTAGCATACTTTGCGGCGGGGAAAACAGAAACGCTCTAAAATTCCCAACACCGCATCAGCTGTCGGCAAGCACAAGCCATGACATTTTTTTATATTTGTGGGAGTAATTTGTACTGGGCAGCTCAGCGATGTACGTGTGCAAACCGCTGTTCTACAGTGTACGTAAGGGGCAGTGGGTGGGCAGAAGAATTCCCTACGCCCACTTAATAAGACGCTGCCGACCTCTGCTCTACATTAATTTTACATATTCCATGAACATATTTAAGCATACTTTTCGGCTGACAAAAAACAAAAAATTATCCAAAAACACTAGGTAAATTCTCCAAAATTAGAATATGGATGAAATTTGGTACCTGTAAAATTTAAATTTCGAAAATGAGAAAGACGAAGAAAAGTAATTCAATTGTGGAGAGCTGGTATCTTAAAGTTAGAACTAGTGCTGCTCAAGAGCATACACGGCGTATGAGTAATGTCCGGTGCAATATTTTGACCTGGCACATATTTCCACACTATTATTTATCTATTTGGTGATCTCAACTCAAACAGCGATGATTGGCCATGTTTGCTACAGTTCAACTCAGCTAAGCCCATTTCTGTCATATTCGGGAGTCTTGCACTTCTAGTTTCCAATTCACACTCCTCCAATCGAAATTCAGACAAAATATTCTAAAAGTCGTCAAATATCATACAGCAAATATTCATATTACAAAGACTCTGTAACAGTTATATTTGTATGGAAGTTTGTTGTTTTTAAGATTGGCTATATCCGACAATGGCTCATACGGCCAAACAAGCTACCCTGGTGTGTGTGAGATTTTAAAAAATTTATACGTATTTTGACTTTTAGCCTTCGTGCTGTAGAGCCGAGTTCTCGCCAGCACTGAGCTGCCAACAAGTCGGGTCGCAATGTGCATTGAATGCTAGACCCTGATGCTGGGTGCGGATAGCACATTGTGAAAAATATTTTGCATAGGCCGGTGGCTGCCAATGCTCCTATCAATGGAATTGGTCGGGCAATGGCCGCACCTTCAGTATGTCAAAGTTGGTTTGTCACAATGTATCATCAATTGAATCATAAACTCAAAACAATTGCACTCCATTTGATAGTATCAAACATTTTAAATTTTGCACATTCCGCGCACTTCTACATTGGGTTGCTTGGGTGGGGCAGAAGATGGCTGTATGTGCCTTTTTTTTCAGACGAGTCATCAAAGAGCACGCCTTTTTCTTTATTACAGAATACTTATCCACGGACGAAATGTCAAGTATAAAGTGTTTACTCAAATAAGCAGTCAAAATTAAGAACCTATCTAAATGCATCTAGATCACAGGACATTCATTGTAAAAAATATATTAAAATTATTCCGTTTTTTAAGAAAGTAATCTCTATTACTCAACGTATTTAAAAAACTTAAGTGTACCCAGCATGAGTTGCATTTATGTTCCTAGCCATTGTGAGGGGCCCGTCTGTAAATCAGTTAGCATGCCCAGCAGTAGGTAATTAATCTGCTTAAAAGCTGCTCCCCCGAAATACATGACCAGCTTGGTGTGCGACCGTCTATCTGGCTGCTGTGGACCACAGCCTGTGGTGGTTGCTGGCCTAATCTTGCCTGCCCAAGTTTGGTTTTGGGATCGTGTACTGCCTTTCGCGCCTGTTGTCGCTGTTTTCACGAATTCGCTCCAAATTTAGCGCATTGGTCGCAGCAACACACTGGGGCTTGTAGTCTAACTAGCGGGGGTGAGGCTTGGGCTAATGCTATATAAATAATTTGAATAGGAAGCATATAATTATAATGAAAATTATGAAGGAACAATAAATATTTTTGAAGTACCAATAAAGATATTGACATTTATAATATTATTAAAAATTATAAAATACAATTTTTGTTTCATTCAATGCAAGTCAAAATTACTTATTTTACAAAAAAAAACTTGTTTTGCTTTTGGCTGTGCAGCTTAATTCACAAATAGAGAAAGGAGAGCAATGGACTTTATGACACTCCGACCTCATAAAATGCTCCCGGTTAAATAAAAGCAATTGGGTATTACCTCACACTGAGACCCACAAAACTCTCAAGCATTTTGATTTACAATTTGTTACAGTTCCAGTAGAGAAGTGAGTACCAAACGCAGCTTACAACACAAACCCCCAATGAAAGTAAGAGCTGTGCACGGCTTTAGTTGGCCCAGAATGTAGAGCAAGCATTTCACAATTGTGGGCGGGTCGGGTTGATGGCGAAACAACAAACAGATTGCCCGGCTAATGCCCATTCGTCTCAGTCAGAAGGTACCAGCTAGCCGATTTTGTAATGCATTGACAGTCAAGGCAGCGCTCTTATTGTGGGCATTTGGAAAGCAAGCCAAATTGCTTTGAGCCAGACAAAACCCGGCTTTCCACAAGACTTTCCTTTAGCCAAGCTGCATTTGTAACCATCGAATTCGGGCAGCTCGCGCACTTGAACTTGTTGAACCACTGACTGTGCTCGCCTTTGTAACGGGCCCTTGTAACGCAACTCATTCGAAGCGTTGCCGTTGCCTTTGCCTATAGGAGGAAGTAAGTGCCCCTGCAGGCGGTGGAGGTTCTGCCAATAACCAGTAATACACGTCTCTTCCGCATTGCAGCGGCTTGGGCGGAACTCAATCCTCAAAAGCAGGAGCAATAAGAGGTCTGCCCCGATGGAGATTTTCAGGTTGGTAATAGTCGCGCTGGCAGAACGGCCTTGAGGTAATATACTTCTGCGTGTTAAAATTGAAAAGGCAGTGGAGCTGCGGCTGGGAGTTGTAGTTGAATACTGCTACAGTTTGTCATTTAAATCCGGTTTATTCAACCTACAGTGCTGCCCGTTGTTTCTTAACTTTGAGCGACAAAGTGTGACAATATTATTAAATTGGATGCGGCGAGCCCGGCTACGTACAGGGTGGCGGCACTCAGAAGTAATGTGAACTCGATTCTTTTTTAATGGTTAAACTATTTCAATACCATTAAAAACCAGCAAGACAGCAATAACAAGAAAACTAGTCTTGCAAAAGATAATTACAAATAGAACACATGTAAAACGGGTTAATGTAAATGCGAGTAAACCATCTTGATGCGAAAATAAATATGATAATAATTTTAAAGCCTGTTCGGTGTTCTGCAATATTATACCTTTCAAATTGATCAACTATCTGATTTTCGAAAGTGCAAAGCCTTTTGTTCAATTTATTTGATCATTTCTGCACGTCAAATAGAAAAATTAAAAGTCGATCAGAGCATAAACCAAATTGAGGCTAGGCTGTTGATCATGCAAAAACTTTGCTGTCTACATGCTGCGAACTAAGGCGTGTCCGTTGATTCCGGTAATAGCAGCTCGACGGTTGTTCTAGTCACCACCATTTACGTTGCGCTTAATCTATACAATTCATTTGCTTAAAGCTGCATACCCCACCCTCTTTCCTTCCCTTCTGTCCAGTCTTGTTCTCTTTCATCGGCTGTTTTGAAACCATTACGCCAAACGTAGGAGAAGGGGAAGGTCAGCCAGTTACCAGTAGCTACCTTTGTTTAAGCACAACATTCGTTAAAGTGCAGTGACACAAAATTCAAAAGTCCGTTTTTTCGGATTGAATGAATGAGTACAATAAGATGTACTTGCAAAATTCAGAATTTTATTTTATTATATCTGAAGCGAAAAATAGCAAACCGCACGTCAAGTTGAAAGTCTAAATAAAATGCAAATAGGGATTAAAAAGTAACGTTGGAAACTATCAGGTTTTAAACTACACATATATACATATGTATATTCGGATACAAGTAAGTCTACCTGTTTTGATTGGCAGGTGTGACTATGGTTTGCGATGTTGGCTCGTACGTACTTCGGTACGTTTGAAAATACTTCATTAATTTAATTTTCATTAGAAAGGCAAACTACTTGCGTACCCGAATTCGAGTCATTTAACACAAAATTACTTTCAAAATGCTTCACAAAACCTATGAGCATAAAAAAGGTTGTATGTAAAGGAATTTCATGACAATCGAACTGATTTTGCGTATCATTGAGTTAACGGCTGCAATAAATTGGACTACGAGTAGCCAAAGTCGAAATGTATTGACGAGGGCAAGTCAATTAACGTTGACTAGCATGTGCGAAGCACCTTAAGTCATATCACTAAAAGTCACCAACAGACCAGTCATCGAAGTAATACAAATTAAACGACGATCAAATAATTCGAGGAGTTTAAAAATTTCAAGGCAAGCTAAGTCCGTGGATAGATATCGTCTTTCTGTATCAAAGTTTCTACCGCCCATTGTATCTTTACAATTTTCTGTCACCATAATTGACTATTAACATTTTTGATTTGTCACTCACTTCACAAGCAAAATTTACTGGTTGAATTTCGTATTAACCCTCACGAATATATAATTTAATTAAGCCTTTACCGTTCCAGTCCAAACCGATTTTTTCAATTAACGGGACCATTATTTTGTATTTTTGTGAAGTGCAACACTCCCATTTATTAATCGAGAGGTTTACACAATGGAAAAGTATTTCAAACATAACACAATTGAAGGCCCTAACAGATTCAGAGTGCATGTGTAAGTACAGGTAGGTGTTTACTCGTAGGCTTACCAGGCTATAAGCTCTTTATAGAAGAAGTAATGGGGAAGTTTTCAAGGCCACCAATTTAGCGGACATTTTACGGCAGGGCTTACTCGTAAATGAATCAATTTGCAGCTCAAGGTGCACGAATATTTGTCTATATGCGGGCCAACCAAAGACCACCTTTGGACGGATTTCTTTTTAATAAAAGCATTCAACTGTCAATGAAAAAGCCGAAATAGAAACGGAAACGGGATTATTACGCGTTGATTAATTTGCACCGCCTATTTATAAAGTGAGTGGCAAGCATTTTTGCGGTGCTGGACGAGTTTTTGCAAAAAGCAAATGGTAGGACATTTGTAAGCACTCATAAAGATTTCGGCTGTCGACCGTTGGCTCATTTTGTGTAATTAAGACATTAGCCCGCATTATAATAATTCGTTTGTGAAATTGTCTATTAAACCTAATAACTACCTGTCAAACGAAGCCAAGGGTGACTTAAGTGTCGGTGGACTTTTGCAATAAACACCAGTCCATTGTTCATACGCCACGTTGACACATAAGAAATGTACACGGAACAACCAATTCCTGACCTGAATAATTTTTCTCATTAAATTTGTTTCGCGAGATTTATAAATTTCTTTTTGGGAATGGCGAGAACTTAAAAATACAATTATGAAGGCCCTTAAGTGGCCTCGTGGTGGCTCAACTGTGAAAATTATACAACTTCCTAAACAAAGTATAAATGTCCAAAGGCAGAATACGCCTCGCCCTCCACTCGCAGAATAAATCGTGTGAAACACAATCCAGCAATAAATAAATTAATACAGAATTAAATGAATGCTCATGCCTTGCTCAAGCCATCATGTTGGGGCAGCCGTTCACCAGAGCCCCTTTTACTTGAGCTCGGACTGCTGCTTTGCAGCTTTGGTTTGGCTTTGGTTGGCTGCTTTGGCCCAGTTCTTGGTCGTTGGCGTGTTTCCAACTCAGTTTCACTTTCGATTCTTTGGCTCGAAATTGCCTATGCTAGCGTTAAGCTATGCACGGGGTATGGCAAATCGAATCCACCAAGGACATTTGGCCTGGGTGTGAGTAATTCTTAAGGTGATTAACTCCAGACATTTAGGGGGACTCCAGCTGGTCAAATCCACGAGTTGACCCAAATGCAAATGAAAACCGTACAGATACTTTAGGCATTCTTCAGTCTGAACTCCAGAATACGCTCCAAACGCGAACAAAAAATCGGCAGCTAAAACTAAAACGTAACTAAAACTGTAACATTATTTCACAATCGCCATTGTAAATAGTTGCCTAGCCAGCCCGACCCCCGTTGGCCAGAGAGGGAGGGCGCACGTTGCATCGGACCTGGTGGTGTGCTGGTTTTCGTTGGTGCTCAAGAAACCCACCCAAGTAACCCGCCTTGTGGTAGTATCTGGATCTGGTTTGCAAATGATCGAAACTGTGGGTTAAATTCTCAGCCAAGTGCTCAAATTCAAAAAGAAAACCGATCTGGGCTGCAGTTCCGAGGTAATTGGTGTAAAATAATTAGCCCAAGCAGCCGCAAGAAACTGTAGAAGCAGCCACATGCTCGAAGCCAGTCTTGTTTGCAATGGCACAAGCTTTAGCTTTACTCTTACTTTCAAAAGCTTAAGAGACACCACCGTGGCCGCGCGAGTACAACATCAGCTCCAACAGTCTGTTACTGTAAAGTAACAGACGGAGCCGAGCGAGGCTCAGACTAAACTTGGCCCGAAAGCCTGGCATCGAAACTTGGTACTTGGCTGAGCTTGCCGAGTGTCTCGAGACACTCACTCCGCACAGTCGCGCTGTATAGTTGCTCCGATTAGGACGTGTGGTTCGCTTAAGCGCACGGTAAGAAGAGACTCTCGAGGGTCACCCGGACTTGTCGACTGAACCGACTGAAGCGATTGGATTGGGCCACCGCCAATTTCGGGGCGTCGAATTGCCAATTGATTTGCTGATCGCGCCGAAATATAAAAGCTAAGCCCTCGAATTGAACATTGCACTCGGCCGAAAATTCGTACATAGAAAGCAGGCTCAACTGCATTTTGTAGTTCAGTCGACGAGCCCGAGCGTGTGTGTCGGTAGGCTCGCTTTGCGTTGAAAAGAAAGTTTTCGCTAAATATACAAGCCTCAACAAACAAAATAAAAAACGTGCAAGTTTTGTTTTATTTTGCTTCGCATTTTCTTCTCTGCGCTCCAGACTAGCTCGCACATAGTTTTCCAATTTGGTAGTGCCCGCGAATACCGTATGGGAAATCTGAATCACAGCAAGCGGTCGATCTTCGTTTCGATCGCCTCTTTGCATTACGCCAAGCCATCTTTTCCATGGCAACTGGCAAACAAACTGGCGGTCATTGCAGCGGCTCAAGTGAAAAACTAAAAACAAAAAACTGAAAAACTAAAAAACTAAAAACCGAACTGAAAAAGCGCTTGCCAAAAGCAATGGAGGAAAACTAAGTGTTGTAATCTGTAAACGTGTGTGTGAACTATGCATCGTCGCGTTGTCTAAAGCCAAACGAAAGCTCGAATAATAGGGGCAGCAACTGAATCTACTTACAACAATACAAACACGTCCAAACAAAGTGCAGTCACAGCCGCAAAGCCGCAGCCGCGGCAGAAACAAAACCCACAGTCAAGAAAATTGTAACACAAGGCTCGAAAAAAATCTAAATTGAAACATTGCGACACTGCCTTCTTAGTTATTTAGCAATTGTATGCAACAAAACAAAGCTTTTCTCAACGGCAACTGCCACTGCCGCTGCTGCTGCTCTGCTACTCTGCTCCCCCGCGATCCGCGCTCCCAGCTCTTTTCGACCCGAGCTTGCCTATTGGTATTTTAAATTCTGTGAACTAACCCCAAAATGCAACTGCACCAACCACATCAAGAAAATTTACAGTTACAGTTACGACGACGCGCAATACCTGCAACATGGAGTACTCAACAGGTCGACTAAGCATTCTGTGGCTGCTGGGATTGAGCCTACTGCTATTCAAAACAGGTGAGTAATGGCCCCTTGAATGAAGGACACTCTTCAGGAATCCGAAATGGATGCAGAGGGTTTGCGAGACAGAGCTGAGTCATCCTGCCCACTAGCCCTGGGGAAGATTCTAATAGTACTGGAGCAGATCTTAAGCCAGCCAAATCGTAGCGACTAAGCCCTGAATCATGTTTGCGGTTTACTGGCCAGTTTTCTGGAGTAGACAAAAGACTGGTTGCCAAGTCAATGAACTTTCCCAATTAAAATTCGGCTTATTTATGTTTCACTTTCCTTCGCCTGGTACTTACTTGAAGGATTGCAATCAATAATACGTATGAGGTGAAAAGAGGGGCACAACAGTCGATGTTACCTCATCTCATATCTCATTCGTATGAAAGTAAGAGTCGGAGAGAATACATTCGAAACTTGGTCTGCTCTTTTGTCTATTGTATCTTTGGTTGAATGGAATGTTTATATGTGCATGATTAACGCTTATTCTGCTTAACCTCAAATACATTCGGGACTTTGTTATGGAAATATTCTGTTCCGCAAAAGAAGGCAAACTTGTTTTGGCCTCTGTCCCAGTCGATTCCTCCGAGCTCAAATAAAGTCTGATGTCAAATTCAATCATTTTGGAAGAAGTCAAACCACCAGCTGCCAGGCACTTGCTCCGAACTCAAGCGCGAGCTACTCCGGCTACCAAGTTATACGAGTATCTTGCTCGCGACCAAAATTTATATTTATTTTGAACGACTAATCGCTTGTCGACGGCGCGCGGTGAAATGTAAATAGATATAAGAGTAAGAGCATTTACATAAGGGGATAGCTAATTAAGTATGTTGGTAAATATATGGTCTGATCACCTGCTCTATTTACCACCAAACAATAGCATAATCGAACATTTCGAGCATAACATACCGAACCGTGTCAAGCTATTGGTCAGCCCGGGTTGTCCACTCAACGAACTGCTGGGTAATGGTAATGGAATTATGTAAGTTATGCCAATCAGCCAGCAGCCAGCCAACCAGCTTATGGCACAGATATTAATTGCATACAACACACTGGCTCGAATGGCATGAATGGGTTGAATAAGTGTTTGGCTAAGTGAGTGAGTGTGTCGGTGTAACCGAGCAAATTGCGGTTATAATAACTGTTAATAATCTACAAAACAGTTCACTTAATTGTTCGTCCACATTTAAATATGCAAAATTTGGCAAAAGAAAAAGAGGCGATAATGGAAAATAAAAAGTTTTTAGATTACGTGTGAATGATGACAAAAAGCTGATAACATTATAAAGAACTCTTTGGGCTGTTGGTATTATTTCCTACAAAATTATATAAAGAGTGGGTATAAGGGGGAAATCTATATTTTTTAAAATATAATTTAATTTAAAATTCGTTGCACGTAGATATGTACATTGTGCTTATATATGTATGCTCGAAACTAAGCACATGAGCACCTACTGGACTGCGTATTGTTTCGACACTATTACATGTTCGATGGCACTTTCCACATTCGCCTTATTTTCTTTCAAATGTTCGAGAAAGCGTCACCCTAGTCTTGTCCACTTAATCCTTGACATATAACTTAATGTGTTTCTGATTAAATTAAATTAGTTGGGAGTCCCAATTTAGGACTTTAAAAGGAAAAAGCATTCTTATTAATGGTTTCTTTGACCAGACGTTATTTCAAAAATTAAATATTTATCCGGACGGTTTTGCCACAGAAAAACAATCATAATGGGTTAACGAATAAAGCTAATAATAAATTAATAAATCAAGTGGACTGATGGTATTCAAATACAAGAGAATGTGCGCCAACTGACCCAGCAGTAATTATTCGAGTAGTAATAGGGCAAGAAAGTGAAATAAACGAGCCAAGACAGCTGGTTGTCAATGATGACACAATAAAACAGAAATAACAAAGCATTTCAAAATAAATAAAAAGTCAACGAAAGCCATAAAAAACAAGCTAAAGACTGTTGATGGACTGGGGCAGGAACAGTGACAACACTTTCCATTTCGTTGAACTATGTCATTTCTTCGAGCTAAGGAAAGGTCTTACTCTCGTTTCTGGTCTTCGTTGGCTTGGCGAAAAGACATTGTTGAAAAACCTCATAAATGCCCTAGCGGAAATGTTTACATGCGTTATTGCTAAAAAAAGTTCAGCGAACATGTAAAAACATTAATGTGCGACTGGATTTGATGGGAAAGACGGACATTTGAAAGGCGAAAGTTGTTAGAACCTCACAAAAACTAAAAGTATTGCGTGTGATTTGAGAAGAGTAGATCCGCCGATAATACATCATTATCCAAGTGTCAATGCCAATCCGGCCATCAGCATGGTGGCCACGCCTCCGCCCCAGCTGTTTATTACCGCAGGCGGTGTCAATGCTTACCGTGCGAAAGTTTTGGCGCATGCGGAAGATCGTCATTAAATTACTTGGCTGGGTCTTCAACTGTAATCTGAACGCTTTATACGAGCATGTACGAGCACTGACATGGCGCAACTTCGCTTTGCATGCACAGCGGTGCACTTTCGCTTTCGAGCAGTACCCGGTGAGTCTGAGGCAAGCTTGAATAAATTTGCACACAGCCATGGTAATCCCTGGATTTCGAAAGGCTCCAGTTAATTTGCGTTGAATTGGAAGTTGGAATTGAAATTGTTGTCGGCACAGTGCGAGGAGTACCAATAGACCACCAAACGGCAAACACCCAACTTCCCCTATATTTACCGATTGCCCTTACGAGCTCGGTGTTAATGGTGCTACTCACCTTGAAATGCACATGTTACCGTATTACAGCTGCAAATTATATTCGCTGCGCAATGAGCAATCTATTAAAGCATTGCCTCAGCCCGACGACGTTCATAACCGATGTGAATAGAGCTCTTGACGTCTCTATGCGTCGTATCGTGGAATTAAATGGGGCCCGAAGCCGCTGCTCCACTTAACACTCTCACACCTGCCCTGTTACGGCCAGATAGCTCTCTTTTTCTTTCACCGCACAAAGCCAGTCTGCCAGTTGGATGTGTGTTTGGATTGCGTAAAATGTTTTAATATTTATGATTATTTTATGCGTGCTTCACATTTGCGGCAGGTTGCATTCAGCGGACCGACACCCAAGCTGCGTGTCTTTGTAATTGATTAGGCAGACTGCGGTTCATCGCCGTCCATTCTGTACGGTGGCAAGCTGTCTGCTCCACATAACGCCAATCTCAAACGTTCAGAGAGAATCTGGGGATACGTATGTGGTGTAAATGAATAATTGTCAATTTTATTCCTAATTGTTTTGTGCCACATTGGATTTTTATAACAATCAAGACAAGAAATCAATAACAATTACTCAAAAATATGCACTTTCTGAAAACGATAAAAGCGAATGCTTTGACATGAGTCTTGCCTTTCAGGCCTGTTTGAGTCTTGTTCTTGAAAGAGCAGTGGTGATTGTTTTGCTGGCTAACTCAAGGTTATGTTACCGAGCAATTTAGAAAGGCGCTCTTATAATCTTTTATCGTTTTGTATTTTGGGCGGAGCAAACTGCGATCCCTGCTTGCTGTGCTCATTTTCTTGTATCCAAGGAGTCAGCACTATAAATTACGGTATTCGCATAGGTATTAATAAACGAAGGATGGCTGAGCCAAGAATGAAAGTAAAAACAGTTTCCCCTCAATCGATGGCCAGACACAAGGTTCGCTTATGTCTGTTGCAGCTTCTTTATTGTCTCCTTTGTGGGTAGATAAATTCATAAACTGGATTTTGCAGATGCTCAATGCAACGACCTTGACGCGATTGCCGTTGGGGATGCCGTTTTCGTTAATGTGTTTTTGTTTTGATTCGTATACCGCTGCTTGGTGAGTTTAAGTCGGAATTAAGGCTAAAGGCTCCCAAGGCCAAGCTGGAGCAAGTCAGCTGCTCTCATGCTCTGCGGAACACTCGGATGCGCAACATTTTTCATTTATCAAATATTTTGCGGCACCACATGTGCTGTTCACCTTTCACTTTCACCAGCCACAGTCACAGCCGCAGCCTGGCTGCGATGCGTATTAGTGGGCCCGCTTAAATGAACGTTGACGGCCCCACAGTGACAAAATGTTGGCCGGTGTGAAAGTACGAGTGTGTGAGCTTATCGATTAGCGGTGCCCGTCGATTGCATAACCGCACTCATCTGCGTCGTTAGGAGCTTCATTAAGTGCTCGATGTCAAATGTAATGAGTTGCAGGACAGCTGAACCGATTACGCACAGCTCTTTGGGATTGGACTTCCATCGGGCTCTGCGCTGCTCTATTAATCATTGTACAAGATCTAGCGGCGAGGCGGCGACGGTCTGTCTATTGGCCGACCGAGTGTTGCAAGCTTGAGTGCATTTCGAATTCGACCATTCGGCCGTGTGCATATACATACGTAAGTGTATAATGCGTAAGCAAACAACTCACTCTCGGAGATGTTGTTTTGCCAAGTATTCATTTGTGGCTCACATTTTTAGTGTGGATAATTTTCTGTTACTGTTGCCTTTTCAACGAATTTCACTCGCCCGCAGCGGTCATTCGTGTTTCTGAATGTTGCCGGCTCAATGCACCTACCGCTTTCAGTGGGATCTCAAAGTCGCCGCGCCACAAATTCAGTTTTTCAATGCCACTTAGCAGTCGCAGGCGGAAAGCAACAGGTTCAATACTAAACGTAAGGTTTAATGACATCTTACTAGTTGGAGTTTGCTTCTTGATTTTTTGTAAAATTAAATCATAGCTGGAGTTTTGGCTTGTCAGGCTATTGACTGCAAAACTATCTTTTTAAACTGTTATGAAGTATTGTCCACTTAGGCTACCAGAAGATAAACTACCTTATGATGTCAATGAACCGTACCCAACCCACCTAAGCGAGTATCTCAAGCTGCGTACTCGAATTGCATGATTTTTGGGACGATTCGGCAAGCCTCATCACTAAGCTGTTATAAATAAGATGCCGGCTTAAAGTTTAAGAGTTTTGGCTTATTGATTTTCCTTATTTATAAACTTGTTTTTA